CAGCAGGCGGGCCGGTACATGCTCGCACGGGCGCGAGGATTTCGAGGCACGTTGCAGGCTACAACCCTGTGCAGCTCTCACGGAGGGAGGGAGGCCCACTGCGAGACTGCCGAACCACTCCAGGACGTTCCAGCAAGACTGGCTCCGCATTATTATAGCACAGAGTTTTTCTCCCGCATTCTCTCTTCGCCCAATAGGGGCCTTTGCACATATCACATATCTAGTGGCTGCGTTCGCAAGTCTCTCGCATCAGGCATATGCGAGGTGGGATCCGTGGAGAGCGCGGGCTTTCGGAACGTCTGTAAAATTCATGGAGGGATACGCATTTGAGCGACCGGACTCGTGATTTTCGCAGATCGGTGTATGACGATGGCCCAGCTAACAAGGGAGACGTCGAGTAGCGTAGTGCTGTCGCTTCCTGCACACGGACTATACCATAGCAGCTGTTATTTCATTCTATGCTTATGAAGGTTAGGGAAGAAGCGTGGGTGTCGTTTGGTCTGGTTTTGCCGTCTTGGTGGTAGGCCTTGGTAGGCACGTCTCCGGAGCGGGGGGGTTGACTCCCTGGCCCCTCACAGTTAGTCCAGTGATTCGACATAGTGGGCCCCGCGCTTATTGATATTGCAGATGCTTTGACGTCGGAGTGCATTATTTGTGTAAGCTACCAGGCCAGTCTCTACGCCGGCACTTTGTAGCCAGTTCAACAACCCCAGTGTCCCATATTCACAACAACAACTCAACAACATGCTCTCCAGCCTATGCAGGTGGCTTCGTCTTCACTCGCCCTACAGGGCGCCCCAAGATTTGGCCTCGAGTGACGGGGGATCTTGTGTTGCAGCTCGAGAGAGGTTTGTGCGTGAGTTTGTCAAGTCTAACGCGGTGAACCCGCGAAGACAACCACGTTATCGCGACTAACAAGTGTGCCCAAATACAGAAGTCCCGCCGAGACAATTTACTAAAACTGTATCCCGCCGAGCAGCACGGGCGAAGGTTATTGGTCAATCTTTTCATCGCTTAGCACATGTGTTGCTTTGCGGGCTTCTGCCCCAGCAACCAGCGCTTGGAGGGCACCCAACTACTCAGCTGACTGTCGAGTTTGTCGCTTGGTGGTCGGTTCAACCTGTGTTTTGCAGTAGAATTGAAGGGCACCCAGCTACTGTATCTACCAGTGCTTGTTTCAGTAGCTCCACCCAGTGATTGAAATGCACCCAGCTTCACAGCAGTCTGCGGAGTTCGACGTTTGGCCGTAGCTTCAACCTGCGCTTGGAGGGCACCCAACTACTCAGCTGACTGTCGAGTTTGTCGTTCTTGGTTTGGGGTTGTAATTCGGCGGTAGGTCCAATCTGCTCACAAAGTGCACCCAAGCGGAGACTGGCGTTTGGAAGTGGCTTCAGCTTCTTTCCGAAGCTTCAACCATAGCTTGGAGGGCACCCTCCGACCCAGCTGCCTGCAGAGTTTGATGTTTGGCAGCAGCGTCAAACAGAGCTTGGAGCTGTAGCTCTAACCAGAGTTCGGAGGGCACCCAGCGGAGTTCGACGTTTGCAGTAGCTTCAACCAGTGCTTGGAGGGAAAGGGTAGACTTTGGCAGTTGTTCCTTTACCAGTGATCGGATTACGGTAGACGGCTGGCTGTTTGTTCAACCAGAGCTCGGAGGGCAACCAAAAGCCCATTGGCCGCGAAGTCTGACGTTGTGGAACATTGGAAGTCTGCTGGAGCAGCATAAAAGGACTCGTCCCAGGGGTTGTTGAAGTGTGACATGGCTGCAGTAGCTAATTTTCCCCCACTTGAACTCTGTGATGGAGGGGGGCAATGACGTTTTCGGAGCCCCTCTGCGAAGTCGAGAGGGACGTGGGCGGCAGGCTGCACCGTATGTGCTAGTCGACACTCACTCACTCACTCACTCACTCACTCACTCAAATACCTTCATGCCATGAAAACCTCCTATATATAGCCTATATATAACTAGTTATCTTCAAACATTTATAAAGATGACCCGGCATTTCCTTAAGAGAATCTAAGTTGCTCCCGCCATCTACCCAAGCTTGCTTGAATTTCAAAACGTTGACATTCAGAGAACAGGGCAGAAACCTCGCTACACCTACATCACCGTTATACGCAAACATTCCGAAAAAAAAAAACAAAAGACAAACCCGAAACCCAATATATACCCTCAACCCTCTAATTTTAACCCGACCCGCCCCCCCCCCCGCCTTGAGCGGGGGCACGCAGATGCCCAAGCAGCGGCAACACATGGGATGGGTTTTAGTGATTTTGGGGTGGTTATATATATATATATAAATCTGTTTACTTATACAGAAGAACATATATTCGACAGTTTTATAAAGTTGTCGAATATATGTTCTTCTGTATAACTATGTAAACAGATATATATATATATATATAAGGTCTTCAGATGGGGTTTGTATGGGGTTTGGGTGCTTAACATGAATATAGATATATATGTACAGATACATATATATATATATATATATATATCTATAAATTTGGTTTACAGCATTGGTGTATAAATGTATACTTACAGGTTTTTGAGTATGTGGGTGTGCAGCTATACATGCGCGATTTACATGTATAGACATATGTATGCATAAGCTTGTGTGTGCATATATATATATATATGTTTATATTCATATATATATATATATAGCGACATATTTACATATACATATCAACATATATATATATACATGTATACACATATATATGTATATACATATCTCCCACGCACATGCATGCTCCCGATATATCCGTATATATATATATATATATATATATATACAGTCTATATATCTATATATATATATGTGTATGTGTGTATGTACGTGTACATGTTACATGTACAAGTGCAGGAACGTGAACATGTATACATGTACGTATGATTACAAAAAAATGTACATATACAAATACATGGTATGTATGCTTTTGTGAAGCAGTCCGTGCTCATGAATTCGTCCACAAAAGAGACAAAAAGTTATTGTGTTTTAAACAAAATGCAGAATTTTCCAACGATTTAAAGCATGATTCCTAGAAGCCCCTAACCCACTTAGCCCACTTAGCTCTGAACCCAGATAACCCACTTACACAGCCCGCGGCCTAACCCAGTTGGCGGACTTAGCCCTAACTACTTGGCTGACTTAGCCTAAGTACTTATAAGTGCTTGTAAGTACATATAAGTCCACCCATAAGTACATATAAGTGAACCTATGTCTAAATAGTAAGTAAGACAACTACTTACGGCACAAGCTAAGTACATAGCTTGCGCCGCAACTACTTAATATGTCCGTCCAAAAAAAAATAAATCGGTTGTGTCAAATACAACAGCACTTACTGGAATTATAACTAGAGTAGGCCATATTTATAATTACTTACAATTTAGACCAACTCCGCTATGTACTTATAACCGCGACGATCCTCCAAGTAATGGAGATGGTAATCGCGTTCCGTGCGAAAGGCCAAGGCCTGACCATGTTGTTCAGCAAGTGGAAAAAGACGGCCCAGGGCGGAGTCTGGGGAGACGTACTGGGCAACGGCGCTCTCAGTGTCCGAGTCCGGTGGGACCATGGCAGTGCGTAGAGGTGGTTCCAGGTGTGGTCGAAGGATAAAGAAGAGCACGAGAGGTTCCGTCAGTACGTCCAAGTAGTCCAGCACGGTGAACGAAGAAGAGGAGGCAGAAGAGGTAGAAGACGAATGGGGTGAGAGCGACATGAGGTGCAATCGCTCAAGGAATCCGGACAGTACAACAAATGGAGTAAAGAGTCAAGGGCGGATGTCCTTCGCCATAGGCAGCATCTGTGGACCTCGTAGCGCGACGATGATGGTCACGTTCACGGTCTCGATGAGCGGCTTCAGGATGATCGGCTCGATCTGCCCGATGTCCGCGTGCACCACGAGAGCGGTCTTGATCTCGATCCGCATGGCCTCTGCGCCGTCGTCTGCTACGGGACCGTCCAGAGGTAGTGCGTCGAGGTTCTGGTGGTGATTGTCCAGAGGTAGGCTCAGCACTGGATGCCGCATGTTGAGAGGGCGGTTGTGGTCGAGCTTTCACGGGAATATAAGTGACGACCCCAGCGGCATCGACTTTTGGAGCTAATGCACGTCCTGAATGTTTGCATACTGCCGGAGGTTCCACGTGGGTGTCCTGGGTGGGGCAGTTGCTGGGAGTGCTGCCGTAATCAAAGAAGGGTGAGGAGGCGCTGCAGACAATGAAGCCGGCGGAGGTGGCGAGGAGGATCGGCGGCGACGCCGAGTACGATCTCGGTCGCGGTCTCCTGTTCGTGCGCGTTCTCGATCACGACCACGAAGGCGAGGTAGAGTCTGGCGATGAGAAGCGTCCGCGTAGGCAGGAGTGGGTGGTGGGTCCGCAGGTGCCGGTGGAGAAGAACCCCCACCGGGAAGCAATCCAGGTCCAGGAGGTCCGGGAAGTACTGGGGAAGTATGCGTGACTGCGACTGGACATGCTGGTATCGGATTCACAGGTAGTGGAGCTGCTTGAGGTGAAGAGGTAGTAGTCGCCGGTGCCGAAGGAGGAGGCGGCGGAGGTGGGGCAGCTCTGTCAGAAGGAAGTGGTGCAACGTCAGTGGGTCTGATATTCGGTCGGTTTTGATGAGCTCGAAGAAGGACGTCGCGGACCTGAAATAATTGTCCGTCCGAGAGGGAGTCAAAGAACACGAAGAAGAGTTGGAGGTAATCCGAGCTGAACGCGGTAGAATCGGTAGAAGCCATATTGTGCACCAACGGCTCGCTAAAGAAATGGCTGCGGAAAGAGGCACTGAACAAATCCATGCATGTAAGGCACCTCGAGCACACGGCAAATTGTTTCTCCAGGTCTCGCTCAGAAGAATACCGCGATTCCTTCCGGCTGGGCTAGGGTGGAATGGACCCCCCACCTATTGTCACTTCCGTGGACAACCGAGCAATAATAGCTCGCGGCGTTTTCGGGAACAGTGCCGCCGGACTCACTCTTGAGATGTTGTGCCGCGGGCATGTTGGGTAGCACCGCAGCGGCTGAAGTGGCTGGATTGGAGGTAGCTTTCTGTACTGCGGTCGTCGTCACGTCGAGGTAGGAGAGAGGAACGCGCACAAACACACAAATGGGTCTTGTGGGGCGAACGCAACCTTCTCTGAAAATACTGAGTGCAGCCGGCAGGTTCGCGTTATGCCCGAAATAGGCCATCGCTGGGGCTCCGCCAACACGCTGCGCGGCCGCGGGAAACGGCAATGTGGCCATGAGCATTGGGCGGCCTGGTTGATCCGGCTGGTGTTGTGGAGGATCCACGTGAGTGAATCGGAAATGCACGCTATGCGGGTGGAAGCCGGCATGGACGAGCAAGTGCATGAGCGTGAGCATGGGGTCGGTCGGCGTGAAGGGCAGCTCAAACTGTCGGCCTGCAAGAACCAACTCACGTTGACACTGGCGTCGATGTGGAAGGGCCTTGAAGTACTCCCGGTGTGTAAGAAGGGCCTCATAGACGCGGTCCCAACGGATCGACTTGAACGATGCCATTCTCGTGGAGAAGTCAGCCTGAAGATAGGTGTCAAGTTGATCTGAAGTCTCAAGGCATTGCCTCAGCGTGGTCAATGTACAGGCGGCCCCGAAAGGAGCAGTAGAAGAGGATGACGCAGGTTGAGGCGTAGAAGACGATGTCGGGACCGTAGGGCCGTAGGGATGCCGGGTACAGACGAAGATGTAGTGGTCGCCGTATTTGCGGGCTGAGCCGGAAGTGTAGAGTCTGTGGTGATGGGAGCTGCAGGTAGACCAGGCCAAAAGGCTTGTGCTGGCATGGGAGAAAGGTCGGGAAGGCCAGCGGGACAGGTCGAGGAGGTGGTAACAGGCTGGCTACTCGGCCCGCCAAAGTAGAGCGGCGGGGTAATGCTGTCCGACTGAGAGGTGGTGCAGGGGTCGACGAACTAGAGGACGAAGAAGAGGATGACGATCTCGGGCGTGATCGGGAGCGGGAAGTCGCCGAGGTCCGTAGGCCAGGAGCGCAGGAAGGCCGGGGACGAGGAAGCATGGCAAGTTCAAGAAGCGGCAGGCACCGTCTACCCTAGCAGGATAACCGAAAAAGAAAACCCGCTAGAAAGTTACGGTCGCGACACAAACTTCCCGCCTGACTCCTTGGATGTGGCTGCTTGTAGCTGCTTCAACTGCAATCGCGGATTGGTAGGCTTGAAGCCGATTTTGTGGGTGCCATCAGAGGCGGTAGCGCCGTTAGGCTTTAAAGATCTGTTCGTTGGACTGATCTGCGCGCTGGCACTGAATTTGGCGCCTCCGGACTTGGAGGATCTGAGTGCAGCACCGAGGCATACACCACCGTCCCGGAGGACTACGCGCGGAATGTCAAGTGAGGTTTCTTTATGCGACGAACCACCTGATGCCCAGGTCTCAATTGACCACACATTAGAGACTTTGGACATGTGGCTTCATGGACAGCAACTGCAATGAGGAAGTGCAGAAAGGCCGTAGCTGACACCTCAACCTGCCTAGCTAAACCCCAACGCCAGCCTGAACCCCAACGCACCGAAGGACTGGACAGGGGCCAACGATTGGAGACGCAGGCACTGAGCAATACATGTAAGCCGTACACGCTGAATGGGGTTCTCGGCTTAGCCCCATGCCATCCAGAGAGACATCACGAGCGATAAGACATGGACTCATGCACTGACTGTTTCTGAAGTGGTACCACGGCTGCAGGAGAACGACTGGGTGGGGTTCTCGGCTTATAGCCCCGCGCCATATCCAGACACATCCACAATAAGCCAAGTGGAGAATAACCAATGCACAGCGAGGATGTTAGATGCCAAATACGTTCATTGAGCAGGTACACACCGGTGGCCAACCGGTGCTTCCCCCACCCCTGCTGTATGTACTTAGTCCGACGGGACTGCGGAGTCTGAAAATGCCGTTCCTCTGTTGCATGTTTCTAGTCCCAAAAACAAAAGGCTGCAGAGCGTGAGGTGAATGCCCTTGGACACAGGGTTGTCACACACACACACGGTCCGTTCCAAGCCAATCAGCACCAGCATTCTCTGCCCCGAAGCACGCAATGCGGGAAGCATGCACGCCAACCTGCGCTGGCAGAGACGCCGTTGCATCCCGGAAAGCCAGGGCCATGACTACGATGCGAAAACGTTGCTTACAGAAACTAAAGACGGCTGCCGACAGTCGAAGCTGCCTCTGCAGCTAACATGTTTTTGCTGTGCAAATGTTCGGTTCAAGGCGAGCTACTGCAATGACAGACAGAAAATCCAAGAGATCTAACGACTTTAGAACCTCTATATCGCATTTTCTAACAACCACAAAACGGGAAAGATTTTTGAAGTGCTTGAGAGTGCAGGACACAGTGTTTTTCCTTGCTATGACTGCGTTAGAACGACTGAGAGTTGCAGTTCTGCCAGTTCTGAGCAGGTCTCGAGAACTTCCACTGACGTTTGAGTTTGTTTTGTTGTTGAGAAACGTGGGCTGAGTGCCCGCTTACGACGTTCATGGGATGCAGAGGTGATTGCCTTGCACCACCCGCAAGGCAACCAGGAAACTTCACGCATCCTGCTCAGTACAAAGACCGTTTTCGAATTTTCCTGCCGCTGTCAGAGGAGTCGCTTGGATTGCGGCCCTCAGCACAGTTGTGCTTGCAACACGCAGGACTTTTTGCGCTTTAGCACGTGGCCGTGAGAAAAAAGCACGCTCGCAGCTGTAGAGAGGCCACCGCCACGTCGTTGCACGCAGGAAGCAGCGACGCAGTGTTGATGGGAAAGGAGCGTGTGAAAGGTGGAGGAGTGCCACCGTTGCTGGGAAGTCTTGGCGTCATGGTTGGCGCTCACAGATGACAACTGCGTCAACGAGTTGCGCCAAGCAACGGTGCACCACAAGGTCAAGCAGTCGGAGATGTCTGTTCCTGTGGCGTCAAGGTCAGCGCAGTTGTTTTGCACCTTCAACAGGGTCTGCAGAAGTTTGAGAGAGGCATGGAGCTTGTGAGAAGCACGTCCATGCGTCAAGCTCAAGCTGCTTGTGGTTACGAAGTCATGCGGCAAATGCATGCGATTTTCAGCATTGTCTCAAGAATGGAAGCTATTGCTGTGAGGGACGAAGCCCTGAAGCTGCCTACAAGAGCCCGAGCTTACAAGCGACCGCTTGATGTGGTCCGGTTCTTGGAGGATGAACTGGGCAAAGTGGACCAGAAGCTGCATCGATTTCCAGAGCTGAAGCCCGGAGCTTCAGACCGCCAGACCATCCTTCTTCAATCTGTCAACCCCGAGTGCCAGCATTACGTTGTGTTGCACGGCAAGTCGGGAACTTGGGAGGAGCTTGTGACAAGCATTCGTTTCTTTGAGGAACAGACCAGGCTTTGCGACGCTGGTGCTCTTCACGCTGTTGGCGAGAAGGGTTTGTGTTGGAACTGCGGCAGAGCTGGTCACTACAGTTGGCAGTGCCCGGACCCACCGAAGGGTGGCAAAGGGAAGGAAAGGACAAAGGAAAGGGTGGAAAGCCCTCTGGGAACGGTGGCAGCAGAGGCGGCGAGCCGAAAGGAAAAGGCAAAGGAGGCAAGAAGGGCGACAAGGGCAAAGACAAAGGGAAGCCAAAGGCCAAGCCGAAAGCGACGTAGGGACGAGCGCTTGAGGAAGAACAGCCTGAGCGTCCAGGGAAGACGACCAAGAACAATGAGCCCAATGATGCTGAGCCCCCACGTCTCACCATGACTGACAAGGAAGTAGAGAAGCTGAACCAGTCCTCTTCGAGGAATAGTCACTTTGCGTGGTGCTCCCCTGCTCGAGGCTGCGCTCTTCCGCGCCGCCTCCGCTCCTGGCATCGTGCACTGCCCGCGCTGTGGTCCCTCTCCTACCCTCTCGGGCTCCTTGCTCCTGGATTTTTCTGATGCCCAGCGTGTTGCACGTGCCAATGCCATTTATGCATTTTGCCTGCGGCTGGCTGCTTGTTGCGCTTCCCTTGGTTTGGTTTTCTGCCTTGAGGTGCCGGACCAGGCTCTTTGCAGGGGAGTCAGTAGCGATGCCAGAGCGGGACGCAAGGCCGACCTGTTTCGCGGGCAAGGCGAGCGCAACTTTGCACTCGCGAGTGGGACCGATGATGCGCTATGTAAACTTTACCAAGTCTTCTGGCCTTGAAGCTTTCCCTTTGACTGAGAGCGTTTTATATGTATTCATGGATCAGTACTGTCGGACGGCGGCGGCAACCTTTGGGAGAAGCTTTCTTGAGTCATTGAATTTTGCTGTGCATGTCTTGGGCCTCGACCTGCATGTGACCATCAGTGGCAGGATACAAGGGGTGGCCAAGGCCAGGTACCTTGAGAAAAGGAAAGCTGTCCAGAAGCCGGCGCTTACAGCGCTGCGTGTGAAGACGCTTGAGAAGATAGTGATTGGAGCAACTATTGAGAAATACAGCGGCTTCGATAGACATTATGCTGGATTTTTCTGCTACACTTTGTACGCTCGGGCTCGGTTCTCCGATGCCCAGGCCTCGGCTAACCTCCTGCTTGATGTCACCGAGAGCGACGATGGGCCTTATGGGTTCCTGGAGGCCTCTGTTACGAGGTCCAAGACGTCGTACACTTTGGAAAGGAAAACAAGATCCCTCCCCATGGTCGCTCCTATAAATGGGCTGCTTGATGAGTCTTGGGGGACTGCATGGTGCAAGCTCATGACGGAACAAGGGGTGACCCTTCGAGAGGGTTTTCCGTTATTGTCGTCGCCTGTCACTGGCGGCGGGTTCAGCCTGTTGCCTATCTCGGCCGAGCATGCTGCGAGGATTCTGCGGGAACTTTTGAGGCGCGAGCTCGGAGATTCTGCGGATATCAGGAAGCTTGGAACGCACAGCTTAAAGAGGACCTTGCTGAGCTGGCTTGCTAGACACGTTTCCCCGCCCGTAGCCATTTTGGCTCAAGTTTGTAGCTCAAGTGGCTTTGGGAGCCACAGAGAAAATTTTTGTAGCGGGGGAGCCGGTGTGCAGTCTTAGTACCCTCGGGGAAAAGTCTGTGTGCTGGCCGGTGTGTCCTAGGCCCGCTGCATGCGCCAACAGGAGCTGTGGAACGTTGATCTTGATTCCTCTGGTCGCTCCGGCAGTCGCTCTCCGTCAACAGTGAGCCTGGTTAGTCTGCACGTGCATCAACTCGATTTGCAGCTGCGCACCCTTAGTGCCCACGTGACAGCCTGTGAGCGCCGTATTCGCGAGGTGGAACATCAGCTTGCCGAGCTCCAGCAAGTGCGCGAACCGCAGAGTGCCTCTTTTTGGGATTCCTTCAGGGCTTGCTTTTCTCGTTCCTAAAATGAGTGACGCTTGTACCGAGTCCCAACGGGCATTCTTGGAAAATTTGCAAGAGAGCTTGCGTGCTTCTCGTGAGCTTCAGCAGCCTGTTGCTGGCCCGCCTCCGTGGTCGCAGGCCTTCTCAGAGTCAGGTGCGCCGGCCCCCAGTTTTCCGCACGAGAGAGACCGCTCTCGTTCCAGATCCAGGAGCCCGCCACGGCGTGCTCCGTCAGGGGGCTCTCTTCTTGCTCAGGTTCTTCGTGAGGCTGCCACTGCCCTTGAACAGCAGGTTCCAGCTTCTGAGTTCAGGCTTTTGCACTATCGGGTCTCTTCTGCTGAGGGCCGCTTGCAGCATTTGCTCCTGGAGGATGAAGGTGCGGTCCGCCGCCTTGGCGAGGACCCTTCCTACACAAGTGCGTTCTTCTTGCTCAGCAGTGCAATCCAGAGTTTGACTCAGGGGCTCGAGCAGCAGGCTTCGCGCATTGCTGTTCTCGAGGCTGCGGTGCTGGCCCTTCGCGGCGCTGACCCTAATCCCTAACCTGCCTCAGCCGATGCCCTTGCTTTCCGGCGGACCCCCAACCCTGGATCGTGCCACGCGGCCTCCTGAAGGTCGCCTCTTTTCCAGGACTCCGCTACAATTTTGAGCTCAGGAGGACATCGTGCTAGAAAGCTCAGCGCTGTGCCCCGCAGTCTTGCGTGTTGCCTTGATTGCACATGTTGCAAGCCTTCGAAAACTTGGCTGAGCTTCGTCATGCAAGTTTTGTTTCAAGCTGTTGACCCAGGCTTTCTTCTGCCATGGAATCCTTTGCGGCCGATTCCTGTGAATTAAGGGGTTCTACGGCCCAGGAACCTCCGCAGGAAGCCCCGGCTGAAGGAGTCCCTATTCAGCCAGAGCCAGACCAAAACTCTCATCTTTCAGAAGGACAGCCTCGTTGCGAAAGCCCCGTCCGGTTGGAGGACGAACAAGGCGATCTCGAGTTTCAACAACATCTTGACGATTTGCTGTCCCGGGCTGGAAGTGACGCGAGGGACCAACTTGATCTTCAGGAGGCTGATGACGGCACCTGCTTTGGAGTGAGTGGCTGGAGCGATCTCGGTTCCGCAGCCGAGGAAGCTTGGTACGGCGATGTGCGCCGGCCTGCCAGTGATGAAGCTGAGGCTTCAGTGTGGTCAGTTGTTGAACGTGGACCCGAAGCTCCGAAACTCTTGGCTTCGCCTATGGACGACAGGGATGTGCAAAGGGTTGCGGCGGAGCTCGAAAGGAAGCAGGCTGCCGAGACAGTGCCGAAACAAGCCTGGGAGCTCCCAGGCAGATTGAGCTACGCTTGGGAAGTTAAGAGACCTTTGAGGCTGATTGGCATCCCCGAGGTTGCTACCTCACTGGACCCCGAGCCGGCATTGGAGACGGAGCTAAATCTGAAGCTGAACCCCATGGTTCGAAAATACTTGGAAAGGATGCCTGTGCAGAGGTCCGAGGAAGAGGCTAGATCACACGCGCTAAAGAACTTGAAGTTTATGATCCTCTTCGACGTCGAGGCCACTCAGCTGGGGATGAGCCTAGCAGGCTTGGTCGGTCGTGCGGCTGAAGAAGACGAGATCAAAAGCTCTTTCGTGGCGGCTTTCCGCTTGAAGGCCACCAGCACCCTATGCAAGAGAACTTCGGCCCTTCTGAAGTTCTTTAGGTGGGCACTGAACGGCTCCCTGCACTCGCCGCTTTCTTTCGGTGAAAAGCACCTCTTCGACTACATGAAGGTTTTCCAGAGTGGCCAAGGGGGCCCCACTTCGGCCTCCCAGTTCCTAGAAGCTCTTCGCTTCTTGCATGGGGTGGCCGTCTTGAGGCACGTCGCCCTCGACGACTGCATCAGTGCAAGGGTCAAGGGTTTGGCAGCAGACCTCTACCTGACAAAGGCCCCCCTAAATCAACGGGATGAGCTCACTCTTAAGATGGTCGTGGCGCTGGAGACGGCTATCGACATGGAGAACGACCGAGACGCTTGTATCATGGGGCAGCACTTATTTTGCCTACACTCGGGGGCGAGGTGGACGGATTCGCAAAGGCTGAAGTCAATCACCGTGCAAACCTCCCATGGCGAGACCTTTGTGATTGCGGAAGGCCTCACCTCGAAGACTTCGAAGACTCAGGAGGCCAAAACCCGGCTGCTGCCCTATGCAGCGATTGGATCGGGTGTAAAGCTTCCGTGGGCAAACCGTTGGCTCGAAGCTCGCCAAAACCAAGGATTGAAGCTTGGGGCCTTCACCCTGCCGGGCTGGTCGGAAACTTCCGGAGAATGGACTTCCCTGCCTATGTTAGCGGGGGAGGCTACCTCTTGGTTGCAAGATTTCCTCTTGAGGGCTGGCTTTGAAGAGGAAGAAGTCCTGAAGCGAGGCTCCCACTCGCTGAAGGCGACACTTACTACTTGGACCTCCCGGTGCCCGACGGTCTCTTTCTCCTCTGGTGACCAGAGGTTGGTGGGCCATCACGTGAAGCCCAAAGACAAGTCTCCTTTGATCTACTCTAGGCAGGCATACACCGCTCTCTACGGCAAGATCCTCGCGATGTTCATCGACATTCGTGAGGGACGCTATGATCCGGATTTGCCGGAGGTTGATAGAGTCCTCGCTGCAGCCGCTGAAAACTCGCATAGAAGGCCAACTGAGCCTAAGGCAAACACGATCCCTCCCGCAATCGGGCCTCTCGATGAGGCTAGCGGAGAGGAGGGTGGCTCGACTTCCGAAGGGAGCGAGGAAGCACTCTCGGGGGAAGACCGAGCCGATGTGGCGAGAGCACCTTTTCAGCAGCCGGTGGACTTGGAACTTGTTTACGTGCACCGGGTGTCAGGCGTTGTTCACTGCCTGAAGGACCCTCGAAGCACGGATTTCTTTTGTGGTCGTTTCTTGACCGCAGCGTACATGAAATTCGGAAGGGCCGGCGCGGCAGCAGCAGATCCAGATTGCTGCATTCAGTGCCGGAGAGCGCGCGACCGGGAGCCGGTTTGAGGCGAGCTTTCGACGATCAGAGGAGATCTGGGCCTTGGCCCATCCTCGCACCTTTGCCTGCATGCAGCTTAGGCAAAACATGGTGTGTCGTCGGTCTCAGTGACAGCCTGCAGTTATCGCACGAATGTCTGTTTGTGTGAGGCGCTTGACTCAAGTCACTTAGCGCTAGAGGGTTGCGAGCATGGCCGGAGTGACATTGGACTCGGAAGCAGCCTTTAAAGAACGTGCTTTGAAGGTGGGACTCTCTGCTGCAAATCACGCCACCCTGGAAGCGCAGGGATACAGCACTTTTGGCGCCTTGGCTTTCGCAGTTTCAGCCTCGCCCAACAGCGTCAGCGAGGAAGAGGTCAAGGAATGGATTCGTGCAGTCTTCACACCGGCACCCGACCACCACCAGGTTTCCTGCTTGCGACGTTTGCTTTTCGAGGCCCAGGCCCTCTCAATCAGTGACATGAAGAACCGAGTGGAGCCTTCAAACGATTTCGTCACCAGGAAGATGCCAGTTGCCGAGCGCCTTGCCAGGCAAAAGGCGCAGGAATCCCGGCTCACAGGGATACATTTTTCGCCAGAAACCACACCATCCCATGGTGTGGTAGATCGACTTGTGGAAATGCTTGAAACCGGGACGCTAGTCTACCTGCCTCCCGGTAAGTACCTCTCAAGGGCTCAGGAAATTCAGTCGGCCAAAGCAGACAAAGCTTTGTCGATTGATTCAGATGGAAACCTTAAGGTCACTTCCAAGCTTGACAAGTTCGAACATTGTGACACGGGTTCCGAGTGGACCCTTCGCCAGGCTTGGGCGAGAAGGAGCCTCGCCTTTGATCTTGCGGGCCTCGCGACATATCAGGCCATGGAGGCTTGGGTGCATAAGCTTTTTGTGACACTTGAGCGGCCTTCCCCTCCTGGCTACCACGGAGTGGCGTTGACTCAAATCGTGGCAGCCGATCGTCACTTGTTCACCCTGGCCGCCTCCAATCTGCTAGGAGCCCTTGCTGCCGCCCCGGGCCGCGTCAAACCGCTTGATGAACAGCTTAAGCTCCTCAGCGCTCACAGTGATGTGTTGCAGTTTCTGAATCACCTGCCTGCCCAGAGCTTGCCGTCCAATCCTCTCAAGCGCTCCGAGAAAGGTGACACCCCCAAAGGCCGAGGCAAAGGCAAAGGAAAGAAAGGCAAGGATCGTGGAACTGCTGCTTCCATTACCGTGCCTGAGGGAGCAGTCACTAAGGTGAATGACAAACCTGTGTGTTTCGCCTTTAACTGCGGCTCCTGCAAGTTCAAGGTGTCCAAGAAAGGCAGGTGCGGGCGAGGTTTTCACCTGTGTTGGTGGAAAGGCTGTGGTGGTGCCCACCCGGGGCACGAGTGCACAAAGGCTCGCCCGAATCAGTGAAAGCCCGCAGGGACCGCGGCGCACCCTGTGGATTCCCAGTCGTCGCAGTGCCAGGCAAATGTGCTTGCAGAGCCAAGGGGCCCTCCTTTGCACCCTGCCGAAATCTTTGCAACATCCCTTTTGGAACTTTCTTCGGCCAGTCGTGTAGATTTGCTGAAGCTTTTTGACTTGCTCCCTCACGAGGATGCGCCTACTGCTGGGCGTGCAGAAGCTGGAGGTTTTTCCTTCGGCACCGGCACCTGGGTGCATGGAAACCTTGTGGGATTGCGAAACAACTGCCGCCTTTTCCCTTTAAGCACTAAAGTTTTTACTCGTTTTGTGTTGCAGGAGTGCCCCAGCCACTCCTTTTCTGCCATAGTCATCCTTGACAACGTTTGCACTGTCGCGCACCGCGACACTCATAACCTAGAGTCGGCTCGCAATGCTGTTTTCGGGCTGTCTGATTACTCAGGCGGCGAAGTCTGGGTCCAGAATGCTCAGGGCCTCACGCCCCTGGAGGTGAATGGCAAGAGGCTTCTGGGAGTTGCTTTGCCAACGATCCCGGGCCCTGCTGTCTTCTCAGCCAGATCGGCCCTACATGCGACCTTACCATGGTCTGGCCGCCGTGTAGTCTTAGTTGCGTACACAACAAATTTCATCGACAAATTGTCGACCGCTGATGCTGACTTCGCTTCCAGCTTGGGCTTTGCCGCGTGTCAGCATTCTATCCACAAGCTGAGCCGCCAGCCTTTTGCGGTGGAGGTCTTCAGCGGCACCGCTGTTTTGTCTCGGGCCCTCTTCGCCGCTGGCTTTGCAACTCTGGCCGTCGATCACCGGCCTCGCGCCGCTCTTATGCCAACAGTGCGCTTGGATCTCGCTCAAGAGGCCCAGCAAGATCTGCTTATGGATCGTCTTCGAGCAACCCCTCCTGATGCAGTGCATATAGCCCCGCCTTGCGGTACCGCCAGCCGAGCCCGTGAGCGCCCCCTGCCATCAGCGCTGCTGAAACAGGGCGTTCGAGAGCCCAAGCCCTTGCGATCTGCTCGGTATCCCTTGGGTTTGCCAAGCCTTGACAAAGCCTCATCTCAATACCACCGCGTGCGGCAGGCAAACCTGCTCTACCTCTTCACTTTCAACTTGGTCTGCTGGGCGCTTGAGAATGCTGTGCCTTTCACGCTTGAGAATCCCGCCAACAGCCACTTTTGGGCCGTTTTTGCTTCGCTGGCTCGTGCCCGCCCTAAAGCAGCCTGGCATCGCTTCAGCCACAGAACCTTTCAGGTGGAGTTTGATCACTGCATGTATGGCGGGGCTCGGCCGAAAACTACGCGGTTGCTCACCAATTGCAAGCAGATGGCCGACTTGTGTGCCCGTTGCGATCGCTCTCATGATCACGCCCCTTGGGGGGCTCAGCGCGGGCCCCATGGCTGGGTTTTCGCCACTCACCTCGAGGCTTCCTATCCCGTCCAGCTTGCTGAAGCCTTGGCTGCACGCTTCAGCGCCCAAGCTCAGGCCTCTGGCCTCTCCTTTTGCCCGCGGCCGCTGGACGTGCAACATGCTGCTTACGCCGCCCAGGGCGTGCAGCATCGCAAGAGTCAGCCTCTTATCTCCGAGTTTGCCGCCATAAAGCCTGTGCCCAAGTCGGCCGTCGACGAATCTTGCATGAAGGTTCTCACGGCCCCAATGATTGGGGTGAAGACGGGGGGCCTGCCGAAACCCTCTGACCATGAGCCTTCGTCCATTGTCGAGCACCCTGGGCCCCCAGAGGGAAACCCTGTCCCCTCGCCTGCCTCTTCGGGTTTAGTCCCCAACCCCTTGTGTGAAACCCCGCGACACGCAGGACCCGAGCCTGGTGCGGGGCAGGGGATGGTTACCGTTGGGGTTTATCGTAGTCCCGAAGTGTGGGTAAAGGAGGCCCTTAAGCTGCCGCATCCGATGGACTCGAATAACCCTCTGGCCGAAGCCACCATGATGGCCATCAAGGAAAATCTTACTTCGGAGGCTAAGGTGCTTAAGCTTAAGCAAAAGATTGCCCTGACTAAGATGGAGATCCGGGCCAAGCAACTTGAGTCGCAGGAGAGAGCACTGCATCAGTCAAAGCCACCTTGGATGCAAAAAGTCCTCAAAGGAAAGCGCATTCTGTTGCTGCGCGACCTGTTGTCGCAGCACGGTTTTGATGACATGGGGGTCGTGGACCTCGTTAGCGACGGGTCACATCTAGTGGGGTCCGCTCCGAAGCCCGAATGCTTTGAAACGCGCGTTAGGCTGGCAAAGCTCTCTCCCGAGGCCTTAAGAGCTGCAGCCCAGGACTTGAGGAAAGCCATCCTTGCAAACCCCAGGAAAGTCTCTGCGGACGAGGCGGCTGAACTTCGGAAGGTCTCAGATGAAGAGACGGCTGAAGGTTTCCTTACGGGACCGTTCGAGTCCGAGGATGCAGTGTCAGACCACCTCGGAACCCAAGATTGGGTGGCTGTGAGGAGATTTCTCCTTCAGCAGTCCGATAAGAAGCGTCCCATTGATGACGGCCACGAGGCCCACCTCAACGATGCTTATGGGTCGGCCATCCGCTTGAGGCTCCAGGATAGTGCGTACTTTACGGCCATGGCACTGGCTGTTGCAAAGATGCAAAAGGACCTGGGTGTGCATGTTCCATGGAAGGTCAAATGCCTAGACTTGTCGAAGGCTTACAAACAATTTTGTGTAAGCGAGCGGGATAGGTGCCTTTCGGTTATAGTCATTTTCGACGAAAAAGGAAAGCCAACCTGGTATGTGGCGAACGCCTTAATGTTTGGTGCCGCTGCCAGCGTTTTCAGCTTTAACCGTATAAGTCGGGCCATACATTTCTTGTTCACCAAAGTCTTGAACGTGGTGTGCTCGTACTTCTATGATGACTACCCGATGTTATCCCGCTCCGACATGGCAGAGGCAACTGATGAGGCGTGCGGCCGCATGCTGAGTCTGCTTGGCATCCGATATGCCGAGACGGGGACTGGATCCAAAGGTTTGCCCTTCGATGCATCATGCAGTGTTCTGGGACTCAAAATGTCAGTGGAACATCTTCACTTGGGGAAGCTCTCGATTTCAAACAAACCGGGAAGAATAGAGCGGCTCGTGGAGTTGTTTGGCAAGGTCAAAGCCGAGGGATCGATGACAAAGCATTTTGGCCAGGTGTTGCTTGGACTTTTGCGTTTTGCGGCAGGCTCATGTGTGGGCATGTCGCTAAATCACATTTGCGCTGACTTGAATAGGATAGTCCATGGTGAAGCTTTTCCCTCTCCCGAGGAGTTTGCAAAGCTTTGTGATCGGGCTTTGGATTTTCTTGGCAGTGCCCGTCCAAGGGAGGTGAAGGTGTCAGATCGAAAGGAGGTGGTTCACATCTTCACGGATGGGTCTCTTGAAGGCGACTTCGCTGGCATAGGGGCCGTGATGATTGATTCGGCCGACGGCTTCACGCGTGTGTTGCAAGGTGAGCTCCCGCCTGAGCTCAGGAACGCATGGCGAAACGAGGCCAGCGAACACTTGATCTGCCAGGTCGAGTTATATGCGATTTTCTGTGCAAAGCTTGTTTTCCGGGAACGGCTGGAGGGCAGGCGAGTCGTCTATTGGATAGACAATGAGCCTGCACGTCTAGCCCTTGTGAAGGGCGTGAGCAGATCTTGCATTATGGATCGCATGCTTCGCGAGCTGTGTAGGCTTGAAGACAACATGATCTCCTACGCGTGGTACGCTCGAGTACCGTCGAAGTCGAACATCGCCGACGGACCTTCAAGGGGCAAAGGCGATGATGTGGCCAGAGCGTTGGGCCTGGTCAGTGCAGAGACGTTCCCTGGATGCATTCCATGGCAGCACTTGTTATGGGGGCAATCGGGTGCTGACACATAGCGGATTCTCTTACCGCAAACCGCTTTGTGGAAACTCTACCACACGTGTTATGCACCGAAGTTGTCGGTGCGAAAACCCTTTTCGAACAGCCCCTTTCGAGTGCTCGGAAGAAAAGAGATCGCGACTTCAGTTGTGCGAATATATTCGGGAGCATTTTTGATAACTGGCTCCAATACTTATTATATTCTCGGGCATTCTTTATATTGAGCCCGGATACTGTTTCACGAATCTTTATGCAATATACGGTTCTGGAGTTTTGTGGAAGACACGTTTCCGCGGGCGGATAACTCTTTCCACCTAAACTCCAAGGTTGTTTTATTTGAGGGAAATCCTTCGCCCTCAAAATGGCGACAACCGCGAACCGTTTAATTGCATGTTTTCAATCTTTTAAATTTGTGTGAAATCATGATTTTATCACACAAACGTTTTTATACCTGTCTGGTCTTTGCATGCAGTTCTTTTCACGCATGTCTCAGTTCCGAATGTTTAATGCACCGGCAGTTTGTAGCTCAAGTGGCTTTGGGAGCCACAGAGAAAATTTTTGTCCCACCCACCCACTCCTGGGGGGGCAATCGGCTCGGGCATTCTTTATATTGAGCCCGGATACTGTTTCACGAATCTTTATGCAATATACGGTTCTGGAGTTTTGTGGAAAATATGGAACTGAACAAGGTGTGAGGGCCATTTTGGGTTACCGCAGTACTCACTGTGGTACGGAGTTGGTATATGCCAGGGACACGCTGAGCGGCCCATTGCGGCAGCTTGGATCCGTTGTCAGTGCGGTGGCATTGGATCACTTCAGGCCCGACAGCACGCGCTCGGGATATTTCCCTAGTCGCAAGGGCCGAGAAGATTCCGGTTTTGACCCCAATGCCCCGGAGCAAGAAGAGCTTGACAGTTCTTCCAGTGGAAGTGAGGATGAAGAGGCTCCGGATCACAATGAGGTCGAGAAGGCCTGTGATGCTCTGGCTTCCTGGGAGCCTCGTCCAGGTCTGCGTGATATGATCGGCAAGGGTCCCGTCTTCAAACATAAGACTACTAGGGTCATTCATTTGATGGCCAGCAGTGATGAAGGTGATCGCTTTGTCTGCGGTCGCAAGCCGTCGACTAGCTACATCCAGACGGCGGTGCCCAATGTTTTGTTTCCCCTTTGCAGGCAATGCTGTCCTGACCAGGACGGGCCTTGAGTTTCACGCGAGATCGGCGAGAGGTCAATGCAACTTGAGCGGTTGTGCCGCCGGTGAATGCTTCCGGCTTGCATGGTATGTGAGGGGCTTGTGAGCTTGATGCTGTACGCCTTGCAACCGTGCACCTGAGACAATCCATGCCCCTGCGACGGTAGGACCTGTAGCTGAGTGCTCTGGGTCGCGCCATGGCGGCCTCATACTCGGAGTCCGAGGCTGTCTTCAGCGACAAGGTCAGAACCTCGGGCCTGTCGGCTGCTGACCAGTCTAATGTGTTGGCTGGATTGAAGAATTTGAAACAGCTGGCATTTGTCAGCTCCTACACTCCGGGGCAAGCCGATGAGAAGCCTTTGATTGCTGTTTTGGATGCTCTAGTCAAAAGGGACACCAGCTCTGACTTAGCGGCTCAGGCGTGTTTCAGGGCTCTTTTCCAGCAGGCATATGCCATTGTCACCACAGAGTTCAGGCAGGCCATTGAGCGCACTGAGGACGCTCCCAGTCGGTCTCTCAGCGCGCCTGAGCGTGAGGAGCGCTACACTCGACAGGTGAAGAAGTTAACCGGGATCAACATTAAAGGCGAGACTGAACCAAGTCAGGCCTTAGTTGATCTTTGCGTGAATATATATGAGTCAAACACCTTGCGCTACGTGGCCTGGGAGAAGAACTATCTCCGAGCGTGCACGGATGAGTTTTTATTTTCCCTGCAAAACAAATTTATTTCGCTTTCGAAATAAATTAGGGCATGTGTGTGACAGTTCTCATGTGAGCTATGTGAAGAGTGTTTCTCACGAAACATTTCTGCTCAAGGGTGAGGTGGGTGGGACCCCCAAAGTTTTGTAGAATTTTTCGTCTGGGGGTAGTGCATGGATGGTGCCGGGGCTCAGCCACTGAGCGAGAGAGCAGTCCGTGAGCTGCTACATGACCTTGAAGAGCGTGTGCTTGAAGCTCTGAGTGACGTGCATTACAGAGCGGATAGGCTTGAAGGTCTGTGCCGGCTACTGTCCATTAGCATTTGCCTTCTGCAGAATCGCATAGCTTCTTGTGAAGGCTGAATCGGAGTGAGACGACTGACGTCGACCTCGAAGCACTAGACTGATGGAGCTGTGTGACAAGTCTTGTCAGGAGGAAACTGAGGCCACAAGCATGGCTCTCCCGGAAGACATTGATCTTCTGGAAGATGATACCCAGGAGGCTAGTGTGGAGAAGCTTTCTCCTGATGCTTCCTTGCGGATGTCAGTTGCCATACAAGACGCAGGGTTAGGTTTAGGGCGTTGCGTGATTGACACGAAGCTTCCTTGGGAACTTCCGGGACTTGATTTGGTTTTTGGTTCTCGTGCAAGCGTTCTTCCCAAAGCCAGTGATGCCATCTTGCCGCAGGCAGTGCCTTTTCCTGTCAGGGAATCTGTTGAAGAGGCATCCTCTTCGCGCGACTGTGCGCATCGTGCCAAGAAGGCCAGAGCAAGCGTTACACTGGGAGCCTGCTTTCGAGATGTTGTCAATTTCAATCTTGTGGAAACTGACGCTGCGCTTGAAGAAGTCAAATGGACCCGAGCTTTAGAAATGTGGCTATTCGTGATCATGGAGGACTCCAGCTGTTCTGCGATAGGATCACGGATTAGCAGGAAAAACGGAGCTGATGCCATGAAGTGCCTTCGTGAACTCTTCGGGAAGAAAGCATCCAGTACCGTCGCAAAGCGTGGGAGTGCAATGCAGAAGTTCGTTGTGTGGATACACAAAGCTTGCCCAGGCGAGTGTGCCCTGCCTATCACTTCAAAGCGTGTCGATGATTACATTGAGCAACTACAGGAAGCTAAGGTCCGCCCTGGATCTTTCACAAGCTTTACTGAAGCTGTCAATTTCTCCGTGCATGTCGTGGGCTTGCCTTTCGATTGTGACGGATCTCTTAGGAACCCTTTCTCAGGAAAGCAGTTGTTCAGTCCTTGGGCTCGTGGGGCTGTTGCGCTGGAGATACAGAAGAAAGCAGAGAGGAGGCAGAGCGCTGTCCTAACCACTGACAGCGTTCTTTACCTTGAGGCTTTCTTGAGCGACGAAGATGAAGATTTAGTCGACCGTTACGCTGCCGGATGCATGGTCTTCAGCTTGTTCAGCCGCAGTCGCATTAGTGATCTCCGAAAGGTCAAGGATTGGATTTTGGATTTTGATTGTTTGCAAAGCCACGGGCAAGGTTTCCTTGAGTGCAGCACTCGCAGTCACAAGACTGAGAAGGATGTCGCGGCCATTGGTCTTGCCATGCCCCTCGTTGCACCGGCTGTCGGCTTAGGTAAGGTGAGCTGGGCTGTTGCATTCAGCAAGGTTGCTTCTGCAGTAGGTTTGGGGTTCGTAGGTCGGCCCGAGGGGCCTTTGCTGCCCGCTCCGGACGTTACCGGAGGATGGTTGTCCAGGTCGGTGACCACCTCCGAAGCTGGCGCTTGGCTCTGCAAGATTCTTGATAAGGGAGGGCAGCCCTCCCAAGGGATCACAGGTCACAGCTTGAAAAGCACCACACTGTCTTGGGCCTGTAAATTTGGTTTCGAGAAGTATTCCCGGTTACAACTTGGACACCATGCCACTGGCGAAGGAACTTTGCACACCTACGGCCGAGACTACTTGGCGCCTGCCCTCAGGCGCTATGATCAAATGTTGGCTGCAATTCGTAACGGGACATTCTTCCCAGACCTTACGCGCTCGGGTAGAGTGCGAGCCGATGCACAAGTTCCGAAGGTGGAGGTCTCTGATGATGAAGTGCCTGACCCAGGGTTGACCAGCTTCGCATCGGAAGGTTCTTTCGAGGCCATTGGTGTAGCATCCGCCGGAGAGAAGAGTGATGAAGATCAGGTTGCAGCACCCACTGACCATGAGCTGTCCTCTTCGGACAGCAGTAGCTCGCAGGACGAAGTCGTTGCAGGCAGGGACCACCCCGACTTGGACAACGACGAGATGGCTTGTGCAGTCGCCCGTCCCAAGCCTAGTTGGGAACCTGGATATGTCATGTACAAACATGTTAGGACACAGGTCGTTCATCTTTGCGCACAAGGCAGTTCGACCGGAGTTTTTGCGTGTGGGCGGAAGGTGACTTCTGATTTCAAGGAGGTCGCCCAAACTAAATTTTTGTCTTTCCGGAAGTGCAAGACCTGTGAAGGGGCAAAGCCGCTCCGCGATCCAGGAGCATTGGCCGAGGCCGTTAATGCTATAATGCAGCGAAAGTCGGCTGCAGAGAGTTTGTGAAGGTGCACTTGAAAGGCATCGCCTGAGAAAATACGGGACAGACGACTTGTGGTCCGGAAAGTGAATGTCTGCTTGTGAGAGCCGCTGTTGCATGTTCACAGCCTCCATCGAGTAAGTGACCGATGGGACTACGTGGCCGAGACGTGCCGGCCGCAGACTTACACCCAACTTGAGCGCGCCTACATGTTCCTGTGCTCAAGAGGGCCCAGTGAACGTGCACTGTGGCTGCGCCGAGATGTGCCGGTGCCGAAGGGTTTATACATCACATGCAAGATTGCTATGGCTTCTAGGTCTTGACTGGAATACAGGACGGAATGATGAATATGCGCTCCGTTGGGAAACACTGCTTCCTAAACTGCGTGCCTTCGTACGAGCCGGTGTTTCGGAATATCATCTACCTTTCTATAGCGCTGTGCCATAACGAGTTTAGCTGTTTGAGCCGTGCCAGTGCCATGACTTCTCTTTCCGAGAGCCGAGCTGCCTTCGAGGATCGCGCGGCCGAGGTCGGATTGACTGCTGACGACATCGCGGCCCTCACTGGTTCCGGCATCCACAGTCTAGCCCGACTAGCTTTTGCGGCAGTGCCGCCAGGGGCTACGCCTTCCAATGATCAGGTCCGCGAGCTTTTTGGAACTCGAGTAATCAACGCTGGTGTCGTCGCTGCCACAAAGCGCCTGATCTTTGAGGCACACACGATGGTCGTTGCAGATCTTAAGCAGAAAGTTGAAAAAGGGGATGATCCAACATCCCAGCGACTGAATCCTGCAGAGCGAGAAGCTCGCATCACCAAGCAGCGGGCCCGGCTCACAGGGTTGACGCACCGTGGAGTGGAAGAGGTCGCATTCGAGGCTTACAATTTGGTGTACGGCATGCTTCAACAAGACACGCTTGTGTACCAGCATCCAAACAAGTTCACCACGCGTCAGCACGAACTTCAGCTTAAGAAGGCAGTGAAGGAGGTTTCGTTGGATGGGAGTGGGTCATTGACAGTGAGAGACAAGCCGCAGCAGGCCACATGTGATACCCACGGTGAGCTGGAGCTGGTTCAAGCGCTCCGCCGAAGGGCGCTCGCATTCGACCTAGTCGGCTGCTGCTCTTACGATGCAATGAACATGTATCATAGCCTGCTCATCCAGCGAGTCCAGGACTCGCCGCCGCCTAACTACGCAAAGGTTAGTGTAGTTCAGGCACTCCGCGCTGACAGAGCGGCTTTCACAAGGATCGCTGAGAAGGTGCGTAGTCTGAAGACAGGCGCGGATGGGGTCCGACCATTGGACCGTGCCTTCGAGAACATTCTTGATGACACACATGTCAGCTTTCATCTTCTGCCGCTTGCCATTCCGGAAAAACCTAAGCACCCGCCGCCTCCGCTCAAAAGGAAGATCGAGGATCAGCAGCCCGATGACAAAGGGAACAAGCCAGGTAAAAAGGGCAAAGGCACAGGGAAAGGTAAGAAAGGCGGGGCTAGGTTGCGTGTGCCGAAGGAGTTGATTGGCAAGTGGAGCCAGAACAAAGATGGTGAACGCTTGTGTTGGGCTTACAACATGCAGTGCGGTTGTGCAGACGCCTCCCCAGGGAGTGCATGCTCGCGCGGGCTACACTTGTGCGCAGAGCCGGGATGCTTGCAGCCTCACTCTCTTCAGGAGCATCACAAGAAAAGCGGCGCATGAGGCCTTAGGGCCCCTGAGCTTCGGACTGGGAAGGAGCGAGTGTCTTTCCTTGGACGTGCCACTGAACGTGTGGCCAAACTCAGTATCGCTGAAGCATTTTGCATTCAGGTTTGCTCAGGGGCCGGGAGGTTCACTGCGGCTCTTCGTGCATGTGGAATGAAAGATTCTTTTGCTGTGGATGCGCGGGTCGAGGGAGCTGTGTGTCCTATTGTATCACTGGACCTTAGCACTGCTGAGGGCCAAAAACACTTCCTTTCGCTTCTTAATGAGCCTAATCTGGTCTATGTGCACATGTCACCACCGTCTGGTACTGCCACTCGAGGTGCCGGGCTTCGTGATGACTTGCATCCGCATGGGATTCCTTCCTTGAGAGGTGCAGACAAAGTTCGGGTCAACCAGGCCAACCGCTTGTTCGAATTTTGTGCTCGTGCCTGCAAGATGATGTACATGCGAGGGATTTTATTTTCAGTTGAAGGGCCTCTTCAGTCATTTTTGTGGGCCACCAAGTGGTGGCGAGATTTCTTCACAGACGTACCAATTTTCGCCACAACATTGCACCAGTGCATGTTTGGCCACTCCCGAAAGAAGGCGACCCTGTTGGTGCACACATTGCCTGCCTTCCTTTGCCTACAACGCACTTGCGACGGCAAGCATTCGCACGATTCTTGGGATTTTGCTAAGTCCTCTGCCGAGCTTAGTTATCCTTGGGCCCTCGCACGAGAGATGTCCACTTTGCTGCGAAAACAATTGCTTGATCTGGGATGTGCCGATGCGCCGCAATCCTTGCAAGAGCTTGATAACCTAGTAGCCGGAGCCCGCGTGTATTCCGGAGTTCAGGCCAGCAAACGCGTCTTGCCGTTGGTCTCAGAGTTCAAAACCCGGGTCATAGTTTCAGGTTGTTGCGATCCCGCTTGTCTCAGTGGCCTTGAGCGCCGGAAAGTGCTAACGGAGGAGTGGACTCCCCCTGCCGGGTCCACTCTGTCGGTGGACCTGCTCTCCATTCCTGCGGGGAGCAAGGTCCTTAGCATCTCCACACAGGGGGTGCAGCCAGATGCCGAAGGGGTGCATAGTCATCCTGAGGTTAGTCCCGTTTGGGTTCCTTTGCCGCCTGCTCCCTTTTGTCCTAAGCCTCAGGTAGGTTTAACGAGTTCGGGAGTGTTGGCGCAACCACCGCCTGCTGATGCGCAGAAATGTGAACATCTAGCTTACGAAATGATGTCGCGCCGCCCGCCTGGTGAGCTCACGGCCGATGACCTGTTCGAAGTCTTGTCACAGACACCCGAAGTCCTTCCAGCCAGGGCCCGAGGTATCAAAACGGAGGACTCGCACCAGTGGTTCTCCGGAGGCTACAGCCATGGTCCAATGGTCGGTGTCCGAAACTCAACTCTGCGCTGCCCTTGGACCACCGCTTTGGCATGCCGGTATGTACGCGAGCAAGCTCCGTGGCACAGGTTTGGAGCGATAGCATTCACGGTGAACCTTCTGGCTGAGCCACATGTGGATGCTCATAACGACCCTCACTCCAACAATCTTGTGCTGCCTATTACGTCGTTCAAACGAGGTGGCCTGTGGCTTGCTGACAAAGCAGGCAGCTCGCCAAGGACCATAGACGGCACACGAGTGATGGGCACGGTGCTTTCCTTTGACGGCGGGGGAATTTGCTTCAACCCACGTGTGCCTCATGCGACTGAGCGCTGGGAAGGAGATCGTGCTGTGCTAGTTGCATTCCTCCCGGGAGGTTTGGACGGGCTCGAGCAATGTGACCGGGCGATCCTGGACGAGCTCGGCTTCGTCACGTCTGCTTGTGCCACTACCCACGCAGCATCTCAGCCCGTGAAGTTCACAGCTGAGTTTGGTGTCAGGTGGTCACCTGAGGAGTTCGTCGAGCAAGCGTGCAATGTTGAACACCCCAGCAGTCTTTCGAACCTGCTCCCGGCAGATCTTGAAACCGCTGTTCGTAAAAACTTTGAGTTGGGCGAGCACGAATTGGGACAACATCGGACCGAGCTGATCAGAAAGTGGATTGCACGGGCGAACTCCCTCGTTGGTGAAGAGGATGCGCTGCGAAAGGGAATGTCCGATAACCGGCGGCACATCCTTGCACAAAAACGCTTGATCCTGTTCAGGACTCTTCTTGAGGATGCCGAGCACGCCGACCAAGGCCTCTTCAACGACTTAGTGCAAGGGTTCGACCTAGTTGGTAAGTTGCCTGAAAGTGGATTCTTCAAGAAGAAATTCAGACCAGCCAGCATGCTCGAAGCAGACTTGCGACAAGGTGCTGTTCGTGCAAGGGAAGCCACTCTGGCGACTGTTGGGCCAGCGGATGATCCTGTCATCGACGAAGGTGTGCTGCAAGCGACCCTTAAGGAAGTAGACGCCGGTGTAGTCGAGGGGCCCATAGACCCTAGCACGCTTCCGGAGGGAGCCACGTTGACCCGCCGTTTTGGTGTGGTTCAGGGAGAGGTTGATGGCACGCCCAAGGTGCGGCCAATAGATAATTATAGGGCCTCTAGAGTTAATGCTGCAGTGACGCAATCGGAGCAAGTCACGGTCCACACTCTTGACGTGGTGGCGGGCATGATTTCGTCTTGGCTAGCCCGTGCCAAGGCCCATCGTGTCCGGTCTGCGATGAATGCCAAAACGTGGGACCTTAAGGCTGCGTATAAACAATTGCCTCTCAGTGACGCCGCATTTGATCGAGACTCCTACTTCGTGATCTACGACCCAAGGAGCCAGAAGCCCGCTGTGTTCAAACAGCGAGCTCTCCCCTTCGGATCGCGAGCTTCAGTTACGGCGTTCATCAGAAGCGCAGTGGCCGTCTGGACAGTAGCAGTCAAGTTGCTGTTCCTAGTTTGGTCCGTCTATTTTGACGATTACCTTAGCATCGCCCGCAGCAGCGAAGCCAAGCACGTCGACCTGGTAATCAGTGTGTATTTTAGGCTCCTTGGGTGGAAGGTTTCCACCGATAAGCTGCTCCCCTATTCCACTTGCTGTAAGGTGTTGGGGATTGAGCTTGATGTGGGAAACGCCATTCGGGGTTACGCCTTGTTGAAGAATACCCTGAAACGCCGAAACGAAATCGTTGCTTCTCTTGAAGAGGTGCTCGCTCGGGGCAGCATTGATTCGACCACGCTTGAAAAACTTCGAGGGCGAGCCCAGTTCGCAAGTGGCCAGTTGTTCGGCAGACTGGCGCGGCAGGCACTTCACTGCTTGTCGGACAAGCCTTCGAAGAGCTTCTGTGTGTCCGAGCGCTTCAGGTGGGGTGCCACTCACCTTGTAGAGCTCTTGCAGAGTGGTTGCTCCAGAGTCGTTTCTAGGGACTTAGGTGATAACCGCCTTGTTTTTGTAGACGCTTCCTTTGAGCCGTCCGGGCACAGTGGGCTTGGAGGCGTCTGCTACGATGCTGACGGGAGAATCCTAAGTTGGTTTGGGGCTACCGTCCCCAGTGACTTGATTAAGATTCTGCTGAGTTGCTTCGGGCGCGACAGAGAGACAGTGATCTTTGAGCTAGAAGCTCTAGCAGTAGTAGTGGCACTTGAGCTTTTCAAATGTCACCTGTCTCAGAGGAACGTTGTAGTATACACGGACAACTCAGGTGTGCACGGAGCGTTCGTGAAGTGCTGGTCAGAAAACCCAGTAGGCAGTGCGATGGCTTTCTTGGCAGCCAAGCGTGAGTTTGACTTACAGGCTTTCTTTTACTACGACCGTGTGCCGTCGCACAGCAACCCAGCTGATGCGCCTTCTCGAGGTGTGTACTCAATGGGCCAGGATCTCCGTGCCGAATGTTCGGCAGACGTTCTGACGGAGACTCTTAAGTGCGCCCTCAGTACCTAGCCACGTTCTACAGGGGCGGCCAACGTGGGCACTCGTTTCCCCAGTCTGTGAAAAAAGAGAGTGGCGCGTCTTCGACTGCATATGAATGTATATTTGATTGATGATCCTTTTTATATTCCGAAAGATATTGGAGTCTGAGTTTCACATATCAATTCTTTTAATATCTCACGCCCGGTGTTTTGCACAAAGGGAAAATAAGAACTATCTCCGAGCGTGCACGGATGAGTTTTTATTTTCCCTGCAAAACAAATTTATTTCGCTTTCGAAATAAATTAGGGCATGTGTGTGACAGTTCTCATGTGAGCTATGTGAAGAGTGTTTCTCACGAAACATTTCTGCTCAAGGGTGAGGTGGGTGGGACCCCCAAAGTTTTGTAGAATTTTTCGTCCCGCCCGCCCAAGTCCCCTTCTTCGGAGAGGTGCTCCAACGTGGTTTCACAGAGAAAGTGCTCTCGCTGGAACGTGCCGTAGCTTCCTTTTCTTTACCAAACCGTTGCCCTGGGCCCTGAGCCCGGCCAACGTGGGCACTCGTTTCCCCAGTCTGTGAAAAAAGAGAGTGGCGCGTCTTCGACTGCATATGAATGTATATTTGATTGATGATCCTTTTTATATTCCGAAAGATATTGGAGTCTGAGTTTCACATATCAATTCTTTTAATATCTCACGCCCGGTGTTTTGCACAAAGGGAAAATAAGTGCACTAGCCGGTGATGCCAAAAAGGACACTCGATTCACACTCGATACTCAGGGTAAGACCTTGAAGCCTGAGTCGAAGGCTCCGGATGACAAGTGTCAGGTCGATTCCGAAGTGCATCTTCTTCAGGCTTTGCAGCGCAGAGCCCTTGCCCTGGACCAAGCCAATATTGTCGACTATGCTGTCATTGATGTCTGGCATCAGAAGTTGCTTAGGGCGCGGATGCAGGAGGTGCCGGCAGGGCATGTCCGACCCAGCTTCAAGCAGCTCTTGCGGGCCGATCAAAAGCTTTTTTCGGAGTTGCAGGACCGTTGTCGTGCCGGAATCCAAGCCACGTCGGCTGGCCGTCCCTTGGATGGCCTGGTTCCGTTGGTGATGGATTTGAGCGATGTGGCAGTCCTATTGCAATCCTTGCCTGGAAATGCTTCTTCCTCTTCTGATGTGCGTCCGGGTCCTTGGGTCTCCCGCGAAAGGCCGGGCCCATACACTCGAGAGGGTAAAGGCCGAGGCAAAGCGGGGAAAGGACGGGCCAAGGGGAAGGGCGTGTTGCCTAAGCCGCTTGCGGGCTGCTACAGTTCGACCGGCCCTGAAAAGGCGCAACGGAGTGACAGCCGTCACGAGCATTGAAGGCCCAGGAACCCCGACGGAAGTCGAGGTCGCAATCACCGGCTCGCAGCGAGCCACCTGAAAAGTGCGTCAAAGGTATCAAGAGATTCAAAGTCGGGCCATTATTGGGATCAGTGTGAGGCTGGCTTTCAACCGAGTCAGAAATCAGCAGACTAGAAAATTTGTGCGTCGGAAGGACATGCAAGACACAAGCGCACAAGTATCGGCAGACATTGGGATAAATTCGGGTGAGATGCCGCAAACCTTTGATGGGGCCGTGAGAATACGACCCTACCGCAAAGACTGAGCCTTTGGTTTGCGAAAGCCGTGTGATATCAGACCTCGGCAGAAGGTCGAAGAGCGTAAGCACACTCGCTGCATCGAACAAGTGTTTGCGGTGCAAATCAGAGGCAAGGGCTTCAGGGCCTCCAAGTCGAGGCGCCTTGCATGGCGACTCGCGGTCGCTGTCATTGGATTTCCTTTTAGGAGGATCCGCAGTGGCGCAATCACGCGCTCCACCAGACGGTTCACCGCCCACCGGCGAACCGGCCTCGTGCATTCTCTCATTGAGTGAAGCGCAAGCGGCAACCATTGTTGCAGCAGTCCCCACAGGACAAGGCGTTGCAGGGTCCAGCTCATTAGCCGAACTCAGGGATTGAGACTCTAATGAGTCGAGCTGGGGACATTCCCAGCTGCTTGCAGTCGCATCGACCACACTTGATAGTCATTCCTTCTTGGGGCAGTTAGCGGCAGTGTGACCGCTCTGACGACAACGGGCACATATATGTATCGCCTTTTCGCATCTGCCGCTTTTGACAACCCGGCTGCATCCATTGATGTTGTGATCGAAGCATATGGGTTCGCCAGCGTTGCACTGCACTGGGTCCACCCGTCGCCCTGAGGCCTGTGACTGGATGCGGTTTCCTTCGGCACCTCACGGCCTGCGCCGAGTGAGACTTCTTCCTGCTTGAACAGCACCAGCACGTGCACTTAATCAGCGTGAACTGTTATTGCGGATCTACTTCAAGGCGCCCTTGCAAATGCGACTCACGCCAGCTTCCGACTAGGACTTGCAGGGCACGGCCTATACACAGCAAGCGTACTCACCTTTTGCCTTCACACTCTTGTCGGGCCCTGTGGTCTTGGACCCCAAAAACCTTACTCTCGACCTGTCCCACCCTCCCTTCCCCCCCTTCCCCCCCCCCCTCCTCCCCCTCCCCCCTCCCCTCCCCCCTTTCCTGCCTCCCCCGCTCCCCTGCCCGCCCCGCCGCCATGCCCGTGTGGTGGGCATACCGGTCACACGGGCCCTCTGCCTGACATCAGGAGCTCCGCCACTCAAGAGCCCCTAAGGTGCTGAAACCTGCCCAGCTTGTGGTCCTTGACCTCTTTTGCGGACGAGGTGCCGTGGGCCATGCGTGTGCCGAAGTTGGGTTCAAAACTCTCTGTTACGGGTCCGAGTGCACAGGCCCTGTTAAGCATAAAGTGTTGCAACTCAGGCCCGAGCGACAATCCACTTGGCAATACTTGCGGCGCCTTGTTATGGCTCACCGAGTCTATCATGTCCATATGTGTCTTGATCGAACACTTAATTCCGCTGAGCTTGATCATGTGGCCTCTTTTGCTTCTCATGTGTTGCAGCTGCAGCTGGGACTCACCGTATGTGGCCCAGCCGATGACTCGGCTTGGCGACGATCGCCGTTCAATGACTCACTGCCTTCGTGCGCGGGGCCTGGCTGCTCCCTAGGCCTCGGTTGCCAGTCTGTTCGCATAGCCTCCACTGTTCTGGCATGCTCTAATTTGAGTGCTTGCTCCTGTTCCAGCCCCGACGGGTCCTTTGCTCTCAGCAAGCAGTATGCCGAGAACTTTGCCGAAAATTTGCGTTTGCAGGCAGCCGGTGAAGACTTACTTGTTTCCCCCCAATCGGGGTTGCCCGACGCTAATCGCTAATCCTTCTGTGCAGAAACAAGCTAAACTCACCAAAATGCAGCCGATTATGCCTGAGTTCAAGTACATGGTCAGTGTCCATGTCGCAGATTGCTCCCAGCTGCAGCTGGATGACAAAAAGTGCCTGCAAACCGCGTGTCGTCTGTACCCAAGAATGCTAGGCTCCTTAGGCTCGCTTTTCTTGGGGGTGGTTGTCTTAAGCCTAAGTCCCTAATCCCTCTTCCGAGTGCCTCTGCCACCGCCACGTTTGGCGTGTTTCGGACTCCCGATGAGTTCGTTGCTGCCAGCTTGCGTCTCGAGCACCCGTTCTTTTGCGCACGTTCCTGATGGCCTCATCCGGAATTTGAGACGGCTGCTTATCGACGGTCCCTTACCCGAAATGCGACGCCGGCTGGACTTGCTTACCAAGTGGTCTGTGTGGGCCAATGAACTGGCCGAGCCTGAGAAGGCTCTTCATGCTTCGCTTGATCCGAGAGTTGGGGCCGTCCTCTCTGGCAAGAAGTTGCTGTTGCTGGATCGCATTGCCAAATCCCTTGCCTGGCCAGATGATGATCTTTTCAAGGACCTTAAGGAGGGGTTCGGCGTAGTGGGTTCCGCGCCTGTCGCGGAGGTTTTCGCGCCCTCCTTTAAGCCTTCGGAGTTCACTGAGGAAGAGCTTGACCAAAATCCGAAGCTCTTGCGACCGGCCCTGTGGGCCAAAATCTCCTCATCAAAGCCTGAGGATTCCGATGCCGAGCTTTGGAGCCAAACTCTTGCTGAGAGGGATCAGAAGTCCTGGTTGAGCGGCCCATACAGTTACCAGGAGCTTACTGAGATTTTGGGTCCGCACTGGATACCTGTTCGGAGGTTCGCGATTTTCCAACGAGGGAAGCTGAGGTGCATTGACGATTTGTCCGAGAACAGTGTTAACTCGTCCTGGGAAGTGGCAGAAAAGATTGACCTGCGTGCGATGGACGAACTTCTTTGGATAACCTCCAGGCTCATGCAATCCATCGTTGACCGAGGATCTGTGAACCTTCGTCTTTCCTCTGGCGAAGTGATCAGCGGCCCCTTGCACACCGTGTGGCGCACGAGGCCTGAGTCAGCGCGCCCGGTCTTGAAGTGCGTGGATTTGAAATCTGCTTACAAACAGTATGCCATAAGGCCATGTGACAGCAAGAGGTGTGTGGTCAGCCTCCGGCGGCCCTCCGACGGGCAAGCAGTCGGTTTCATTTCACATACCCTTCCCTTCGGCTCGCTCGCGAGCGTGGGGCAGTTCAATCGTGTTGCCCGCTTGATTCACCGCATCCTTGTTGAGCTGGAGTGCCTGGCCTGCAACTATTATGACGATTACCCGATGATTACCCAGTGCTCGATGTGAGTATGCTTTCGGCCAACACCGAGAAGACGATTCGCAAGCTCATGCGTCTCCTGGGCGTGATCTGCTCAGAGGACAAGGAGTTGCCCTTTTCTTCGGTGGCCGATCTTTTGGGCGTTCGCTTGGATCTTGTACTGGTGGACTTGTCCACTGGTGTTTTGCAAATGGAAAAACGGTTTCCTTTCTTTTGGCAAAACTGGAAAGTTTTCCCTTTATTCGCTTTTGCCAATGCCTGCATCTTCTCGCTTCGGTACATGTCGTGAAGCTCTGTGCATCCGCACTCCGCTTTGGATCAAGTTGCAGCGAAGTCGCTTCGCAATTTTGATTTGGCCTCTCTAGAGTCCTGGTAAGTGCTGCCTAAGAGGTCCCGGGTGCTAACTCCAAGGCTTCTTAGCTCCTCGCGGCCTGGGTAGTGCGATCGCTCCCTGCAGGGGGAGTGCATGGCAGGCAACTCGTGCCTCTGAGTGATCTGTCATTCTTGTATGGTTTCCCGTGCTGAGCTTGAAGAGTTCCGTCAGTACTTTGAGTGCTCGCTGCTCAGCTTGGTTCGTGGTGCCTCTGTGGAAGCCAAAAAGGACGTCGATAGTGCGAGATCTGACTTCATCGAAGCACTGCAATCTTTCAGGGACGACACCCTTGAAGCTTTGACGGCTCTGCACGAGCGTGCTGACCTTCTGCTTGAGAATCAATTTCGGCTGCAGAACCAGTTTGTGATTTTGCAACAGCGCCTTACTCGGCTTGAAGGTGAACCGGACTGCACTGACGGGCCGTGCTGCCCGGACGGGTCGAGCTTTCTGGATTCCTTGGATTAAGAGGCTTTGCTGGCGAGATGTCCTCCAGGCCCACTGACCCTGATGACAGGTCTCGCTCGGGCGGGCCACGTGGTGGCCCATATGCTGCTCGTAGTCTGCCTGGGGTTGGCTCTAGGCCTAGTCCCCCTCCCTCCTTCGGGTATCTTCGGTTTAGGTCCGCTCCGCCCCTCCCCGAGTCGGGCATTCCCTGCCCACCTGTGAATCGGCACGTGCATTTGAGGCCCCCGGCACTGCCGGCCCGCGCAGCCCCTTTCACACCGCCGTTTCAAGCCTTACCTGAGCTTCAGGCTGCACCTCCAGTGCCCAATCCGCAAGGAATGGTGGTGTCGGTATCGAACAAGCGCCCGCGCGCCAGCAAGCAGGATGGTCGCGGGATGCAGGCCATTCGTGCACACTCAGCGGCCTGCTCTCAGATTGCTGTGAACCTCATGCTGCAGCTTCTTGCCTTCTTGGGGTCTGAATCTAGCTTTTTCTCAGCCATCCAATCAGCAGTGCATTTCGATGCACACGTGCGCCGTGTACTTGCAGGTTTTGCCGCAACGACTGTCATCAGGTACATCACTACCTTTAACTCCTTTGCTAAAGCTTGTGAGGACTTGGATGTGTGTCTTCTTGAGATTACTGCAGTGCAAGCGGCCGACATCTTGGTCACTTTGCAGCTTCAAAGACAGGAGGATCCGACTGTCGGATCGTCGGCAATCACTTGCATCAAGGCCGTACGGTGGGTTTGCAAGAACACCCAGTGCATTGTGTTTGAGGTTTTCTATGGCGAGCTGATTTCATCCTTCTTGAAGACCAAATTGCCTAAGGACCGCAGGGAGAGCCTACCCCTGCCGCTGTATGCTCTTGTGCAGTGGGAACGGCGCATCCTTCAGCGCTCCACCCCAGTCCGGGACATAGTACTGCTCGGTGCTTTTTTGGTCACATGTTGGGCGAGTCTTCGCTTTGCTGACAGCCAGCGCATCGAATGGAGCTCATTTGCTTTCGACGTGGTTTCGCTTCGGGCCATTGCATACCAGACGAAAACTTCGCATCAGGGCCAACCCTTCGGCCTAATCACTCAAGGCTTCTTGCATCACGGCACACACTCCTGGGTGGCTAGGTGGCTCCGGGTTCTTGATTCCATCGCTTCGCAGGAGGTGCGCGACTTTGGGGTGGCTCCTAGCTTTCTGTTTCCGGCACTGGACGATGACGCCGAGCTGCTCCGGCCCCTGGAGCCGATGAGCTACCCTTCATGCTTGCGCTGGTTGCGCTATTACTTGCAGTTTCCTTGGATGGTGTCTCCACCCGAGGTGCCCGTATCTAACTATACGGTGCACTCCATGAAGTGTAGCCTCTTAAGTTATATGCTTGAGGTGCCGGACATCCGCGGCCCAGACAGGGACGCGCAAGGACATCATAGGGGGAGTAGCAGGGAACTCTACAGCAGAGATGATGTGCTAGGGGCGCTCCGCGCTCAGACACAATTGAGGTCTGCTGTCTTGGCGGATTTTCGCCCAAGGACGCCATTGCACCGTGGAGCACAGCTCCCTATGGCACCGATCCCTTTTACTTTGGAAGCCTTCAGAAAAGAGATCGATCCTGCACCGTGGGGTTTCTTCTCCTTCGATGTTGGTGTCCCCGGGTCGCTGCCCTGGGTTCCCGGCCAATCTTCGGCATGTGCTGCGGAAACACCTGCTGCAGAGGCCAGCACCAAGGCTGCCGAGCCCTCCTTGCCCGACTCCGCATCGGAGGCTGGGTCTGAGTCAAGTCTTGAGTCCGAGGCAGGGCCCGCGTCGCTCGGCCCACCAGATGAGGTGCACATGGTCGCCGCAACAGGCGTTGTGCACGCAGCATGCCCGTCAGGTGAGAGGACACTTTGTGGCATCGGTATGTCGGGCCCACGTTGGCAGTCGGTCCACTCTCTTAGTTCCAAACATGTTCTCTGCAGGCGAAATGCCTGTGTCAATGCATTCGCTGCTCTGGAAGCTTAGTAAAAGTGCAGGTCGCTGCCTTTGTGTTGTATCAGTATGAGATCGCATTCTGCTTGCACATGCTTTCTTGATGTATTCCATTTTCTTTGCATTGAGCCTGCCAGGACACGGGTCTGCCCTCGATCAGCAGCTTCAGGCCCGAACGGTAGTTTTGCCGACCGCTGCTCTCGCACCATGGCAGATGAACTGTTCGATGCTAAATCCGCGGATGGATCATTCAATCTGGTGAATCCTTCACCGTGCCCGCTTAAAGCCGAGGGAGCCTCAAGCTTCAATCAGCTCCTTCAGGATCACGGCATCAGCCAGGAGCTCACGGATCGGCTGCTCGCCGACGGTTGGGATGCGAAATCGTTTCGCCATGTTGTCTGCCAGGAATCTGAGCTTGCGGGGGTCCTCCCTGAGATGTTCCCGGACACTGATGTGTCCTTGATGCAGCGTGCCAAGCTGCGAGCCGTATGGTCGTCGCTGCAGCGACGCGGTAGTAACGAGCCTGCTCCTGCAGAACCGCTGGGATCCCCGGCCAAGCAAGGCTCGGGATGGTCGGAAGCCTTCGCCCCCAAGCTTGATGCAACGCGGGTGGCCACGCTCAAAAAACGTTTCTTGGAAGCCTTCCCATCCGAAATCTTGACGGCTATGAATACCCCCTCGCTCCGCCTCTTGAGCACTGCTGTCGACGCCGAGGTTAAGAAGAACTGGTCTTGGATCCCGTGGAAGAGTCGCATGACACAACAGATGTATGAGGATTCCCTCATGCAGAAGCCCGCGAAAAGGGCCAGGATTGAGACCCTTCAGCTTTCGGACCTGTTGCTTGATGAACCGCCACAGATTGATATCAATGATTCCACCATGGGGATTTCAATGATCCGTCGGCTGTTGGAGGTGCATGACAATGCCCTCGCTCTTGCAGGCACCGCGCATCTTGCGCGCCTCAAAGCTTACACCTCTAAGTTCTTGAGCCTGGTTTCGCAAAAATTCCCGCCTGAAACAAACCTTCGGCCCCCTTCTGTGCTGGAAGCTCAGCAGGCGGACAAACACTTGTGGTCGTGCATCTTTCAGCTTGTGATCGAGAAAGAATGGCAGGTGAACGATGCGATCTACGAGTTCACGGAGATCCGCGGCGATATGTCGTCATGGCTGCAGCCCCGTGCCAAAGCTGCCTCTGCAGGCAATCGTAGGCCGTATACACCGGGCGGCCGTGACAACCGCCCGCCCACCCCACCGCCAGGTCGTGGCACTGGCAAGGGCAAGGGGAAAGCCAAGAGCCCCACCAAGCAAGGCACCCAGCCTAGGGGCGTTCCGTGGGTTCGCGAGTACAAGGAGGGCGGCCAGGTGAAAAAATTGTGCATTGGGTGGCAGATCGGAAAATGCCAGCGTGGCAACTCCTGCGAGTTCACGCACGGCTGCGCCTTCCCTAAGCCCGATGGTTCACCCTGCCTTAGCAAGGACCACGGTGCGCCTCAGCACCCTGAGAAGTGACATCATGTGCCCGACCCGCCACCCACAGGTGTTACCGGGTCCATCCACAGCTGGGGGGAGCTGCCTGCTCCCCCGCCACTGCCACCGCCGATTCCACCGTCGCAACAGCAAGCCCACCAGGGCTCGCAAGTTTTGGATTTCAGCTTTCCGCCACTGCCGCCACAACCCCTCTCTGCCGACTGTACAGTTTCTGTGTCACCGCCTCAGGAGGCCGTACCCTCCGTGCATCATACTGGTCCAGTGCCTTCGGGGAACGTTGCCCCCTCCACATGCACTTCAAGCACTCCCATTGCGCCGATTCCGCCCGCCAGCGGTACCGCCCCTTTGGGTCACGCACTTGAATTCTCCAATTTCTGTGGGCCGGACTTGGCAGGCCTCTTCGATTGCATTTTGTGCTCATTGCGGGAAGCCCCTTGGCCCCAACAGGTTCGCCGTGCTCACATCATTTCCGGTGCCTCTTCTGCTTCAGGCTATTTTAATTTCGGGGTTCAGCTTTCTAGGCGTTCTTCACTTACTCAGGTCACCATCGCCATGCCTGAGCTTTGCAGGGACCTGAATGCCCTCTTCAGGTTCCTCTTTCCAAACGAGCACTGGAACGCTTTGTGTGTCTCGCGCAATGGCCTCAGTGCGCTGCATTCCGACTCAGCGAACATTCCTGGCTCACGCAATTTGTCACTCTCGCTGGGCGCCTTCTCGGGTGGCCATCTGTGGATTGAGGACCTCTCCTGCCTCTCGCAAGGCCAGCCGACATCAGTTGCTTCTGGCTCGGGCTGGCTGCATGGCTGTGCTATCGACACACATCGCAAAGCCATTAGCTTCGATGGCCGCATTAGCCACATGACACTTCCTTTCTCAGGAGAGCGTTGGGCCCTCACAGCCTTTTCCCTACCTGACGTGTGTTGTGCCGAACTTGAGTTTCTGGGTTTCCCACTGCCGCCTCCCCTCCTGGGTTCTAGTCCTGCCCCTAGTCCCTCAGCCTCCCCTACCTCGCCCGCGGGGCTCGAGGAAGCAGACATCACTTCATCACAATTACCAGCAGGGACGCACATTCAGGAGGATTTTCCATCCGGGGGCAAACCTGGGTCAGCCTCCGAGGCGTCCGCAGATGTTCCTCCTGCGCAACATCCCCCTTCAGCACATCCAATGCCCGGAGTGCCGGAGGCCGTCTCGACTACCCAGCAGCACGAACCTCAGTCGTGCAGGGAAAATGCAGTCCATTCCAATTCGGCATCGTCTAAGCTGCCACTGGGATGCAAACTGTGGGGAAAACGCTCCACGTCAGGTTTGTTTCTCTCCCATAAGCTTAAGGTTGCACGCCCCTTGTCACCACCGGAGGGCACTTGGCGAGCTGATACTTGCATTTCTTCCCTCCCGGCGCGTCTTTTTCTCGAGATCACATGGAGCAATCACTCGCGCCATCAGCTTAGCATGGCTGTCCGTGCTTCAGGTGGAAACTCCCTCACCCTAAGCCCCAGCCTTGACCCGACCCTGGATGTCCTGTGCCCAGACCTCCTCGAGCAGGTCCTCTTCCTTTGCGGCTCGGGAGCGGTCGCGTATCTTGCAGCATCGCCACTAGCCGAATCAGCAGACTCGCCTGACGACGTGGGTTCCCCCTCGTGGCTGCTATCGGCAATGCACGAGCAAACGGCGGCGGCAAAGGTTTCCCGTTGCACCTGGCTCCTCAGCATTGTACACACTGCAGGGGGTCAAGGGCATTTGGAATTGCCCCCCACTTCTTCTTACTGGTCGTCTGAGCGGCCCCAGGCCTGGCTGCATCAGGGAAACTGTGCTCTGATCTTGATACCCCCATTACGGTACTCTGACTCTGCTATTCCGTGCCAGCCCCAGCTTTTGGCTGCTTCTTACCGCCCGCTTTCGGTCCTGGCGGTCAGCTCGCCCGCCTTCGCTCCCCCGCAATGCGCAAGTGAATTTGCATCTTCGTTTGCCACGATCGCTGCCCCTCTGCTCCCGGCAGAGGGCCGCGAGCTCTCCCTGCAGTCAGTCATCAAGTCTATGCCACGCAAAGGCCTTTTCGCAGGCCCACATGCACTTCATGATGGAGCTGGAAAACGCTCCATTGCCGATTGGAGCAGCCCTGCCAGCCATGATGCATTTCGGGGATTACGCAAAGCCCTGCTGCAATTCTGCATCTCAGCTCGAGCCGACAAACGCTTGCTGGCTCGCGGTTCCTGCCCGTCGAATGAACCGCTTTTCAGCTCTTCCGAAGTGTCCGCAGCCAGGGATCTGGTGTTTCCTTCGCTGGGTATGCAGACCCCGGATAACGCTTGGTATGTGCATCCATACCAACCCATGTGCTTGCACGCGTTTGAAGCCCTGGCACAACATTGTGGCGATCAGGACATTCATTTGTTTCCGCATTTGCGTATGGGTGTGCCAACCGGATTCTTGAATGACATCCCCCCTTCCAACTGTTTCTGGCCTCCCAAAGGCCAATCAGGGGAGCTGATTCCATTGGCGCTCAATCTTGAAAACTGGAAGTCGGCCGATGTGGCTCCGGAGGTCACTTCGCGCTTGCTCCAAGAGGAGTTGGACGCCGGATACTGCTTTAAGTTTGAGGGCACACTTGAGGAGGCGAAAAGTAGATGGCCCGTTGGCCTAGCTCTGGGAAAATTGGGGGTTGTTAGAGCTCCGGGGCGGGCCGAACGACTCGTGTTGGATAACAGCGTAGCTGGGACCAATTCTCAGTGCACAGTGCCGGAACGTCAATGTTTCCCGAGCATACACGATGTTTCGCATTCTTTCCCGATTCGCGAGACTTCCGACCGCCAGATGGCCATTTGCATTGATGTCAAGCAGGCGCACAAGCGCTGCCGCATCCGCGACTCCGAGCAGGGCCTGCTCGGCTTCACTTGGCACAACGCGCTATACTTTTTTCGCTGCTGCCCATTCGGAGCAGTTTTCTCACAGCATTGGTGGGGTCGCGTGGGAGGGTGCACTTTGCGCCTGTTACATACCCTGCTGTTCCTGGCCCATGTGGGCCTCCTTTTCGTGGACGACTTCATTTTCAGCCAAGCGGCCAGCCTCATGCCGCTTTCGGGAGCTGTGATATGCCTCTTTCTTCAGATCCTAGGTGTTCCAGTCAGTTGGAAAAAATTACAAATTTCTTGTCGGGTCGATTGGATTGGATGGCGGTTGTGCTTCTCTTCGGGTACGGTTAGTCTCAGGGAAGAAAAACGCTTGCGCCTCCTTGAACACGTGCGTTCCCTTCTGCGGGGCGGAGGCCGTATATCTACCAAGGAACTGGAATCCTTTCTGGGCCTTGCCATGTGGGCCTGTGCACTCTTCCCCACTATGCGTGCCATGATGCACCCTTTCTACAAAGACCTTTGGTCTCCGGCTGCCACTAATTTCAGCATTGCTCCGGAATCGTGGCATAGCATCTGTAATTTCCTTGATTCTTCACTCAGGTTTAAGGCCTCACCTCCTCACACTGCCATCCCCGCGGGTGCTAAGCTCCTCTCGGCTCGTCATGTGCCTTTCACAACCCTTGCAGACTTGTCCAAAGTCGCCGTGACGCACAAAAGATTGTGGCTCCGCGTTGAATGCCTTAGCAGCTCGAGGCGGAAACTCTCTAGTGCCTCCATCCGCTCGTTGCAGGCCTTCGAGCGTTGGCTGCAGCACGTCGCACCACTCGCCAGCATGCGCCCATCTCAGGTTGCAGACGTTGAGGCCTTTGCCGATGCATCGGCATCCGGCCCATCTTGCAGTTTGGGGGGTTTTGTTTCTTGTCCGGTTCTAGGCCAGGTTTGGTTCACTGAAACCTTTTCAGTCCAGGAATTTGAAGCCGCAGGCATTCCTTTCGGCAATGACCTGGCTAAGGAGATAGCCAGTTGTGAAGCCCTGGCTCAAGCTGGGCTGATTCTTGCTCTCTCTAAGCTGGCTCCTTGCAGCAGGGTTCCTTTACGCCTCCCGTCCCTCTGCGATAACTCAGGGGCGGAGGCAGGTCTGAATAAGATGTTTTCCACCAAATTTCCCCTAGGCCTCGTTCTTGAACACATCGCCCTCCTGGCGGCCATGCATCGCATCTCTATCGATGTGTCTCATGTCCCAGGTGCCAAGAACTGCAAAGCCGACGCACTTAGCCGACCGGCTGAGTATCCCACACCTCCAGACTGCCTTCCATGCCAGCGCATACGCTTTGGGCTCTCTGCTCTCTGGGAGCCTTGTCCTGAGGTGCAGATTTTCCCTTCCAGCTTCAGCCTTCCTTGGCTTCGCTGAAATCTGCCACCCCCTTCAGCCCACACTTCCTTGGCTTTCTTGAGCGTGCTGTGGGGTGGCAAACTACCTTGGTGCAACAGTCGCCACCCCACAGAAGGCATCTTCGGGTCAACCCGTTTGTATGCTTGCACAGCCGATCTTTGCGATCCCATGGAAAATGAGTGGACCGAGTTCGGATTGCATTCATTTTCCGTTCTCGGGTTTAGGGTTTAGGATTTTGTTTTAGGGTAACGGTTTTCCTTAGCAGAACGTACTGGTGGACTTGTCCACTGGTGTTTTGCAAATGGAAAAACGGTTTCCTTTCTTTTGGCAAAACTGGAAAGTTTTCCCTTTATTCGCTTTTGCCAATGCCTGCATCTTCTCGCTTCGGTACATGTCGTGAAGCTCTGTGCATCCGCACTCCGCTTTGGATCAAGTTGCAGCGAAGTCGCTTCGCAATTTTGATTTCCCACCCGACCCGCCCTGGTTTCGCTTGCGTGCACGCCGGCCTCGCTAGGCCCGGCCTTTACCGAACGTGCTATCCTTCCTTGCACCTTCACTCTTACTTTGTGCTTCGCCTCTGGCATCCTGCCACGGGCAATGTGCTTGCGCAGGCTGCTGCCTCCACATTACCATTGCTTCTTCTTATGCTGCACAGGGCAGCGCGCGGCTGCCGCACCATGTCGTTCGGTGCTCCCTGCTGGGCCCGCCATTGGCCCCAATGCGTTTCACCGCCGTAGTCTGCAGGTCACCTCTTGCTTGTAGCCTGTGCTCTAGCGTGGACTGCTCAGTCCCGGAGGACCCTTCTGGTCGCTCCCTTAGCTCGAAGCTGTCACTCAAGTGTTGTTGCTTCACTCGTAGTTCTTTTGTCCGTGGGGTGGTGCAACAGTCGCCACCCCACAGAAGGCATCTTCGGGTCAACCCGTTTGTATGCTTGCACAGCCGATCTTTGCGATCCCATGGAAAATGAGTGGACCGAGTTCGGATTGCATTCATTTTCCGTTCTCGGGTTTAGGGTTTAGGATTTTGTTTTAGGGTAACGGTTTTCCTTAGCAGAACAGCGCTGAGGATTTTTCATGTATCACTGTTGCCACCAAGCCTGACAGGGCTCGCGAAATTTCCGAGTCCGTCGCTAAAGTCCTATCGGATGGCCAAGTGGTGGTCAGAGAAGTCGACAGCTTGTTCGGGAGGATTCAGTATGCCGATTCACAAATCATGGGCCGCAGGGGCAAACTGGCTTTGAGCACGCTTAGGAAGCTCTCGCGAGGCTCAGGCGTTCATCGGCTTTCTCCTACTGATCGTGAGGCCTTTGCTGTTCTGTGCGAGCCTGGTGCTGCTCGGCCGCTCTGCACTGTCGGAGGAGTGCTCTATGCTTTTTGGAACGGGGCCGTAAAGGTTCGATACTTCGGGGTCACGCTGAGTGACTCCTTGCATGGTAGACCTATGGACCTATGGGCCGCGAGTGGCAAGAAGCACCTGATAGGGCTTGTCGAGTTGTATGCTTTGGTGCTCGCGCGATTCGTCTGGGGTCGACTCCTCGACGATCGGAGGGTGCTTTACTTTATCGACCATGTTGGAGTGCTCGATGCTACCATCAACTGCACATCGAGGGATGAGCTTTGGAGGTCTCTGCTTATACATCTTGAAAAGGCTGATGCCAAGCCTTGCATCGGGTGGTATGCTCGTGTGCCTTCTCAGTCTAATCCCGCTGATCCCCCTTCGAGGGGCTGCTGGATCTTTCCGATGTGTGAACATGCGATCCGGGATCATCCTGCTTGTTTTGCCACGGACGAATTACTGCGCTCGCCTTGACTTGGGGATATGTTCCTCGCTTCGTGACAATGGTCACCGCCCAATGGGGCTGGTTATGCGTTTCCACTTGTGTCATGCAGGATGTGTTTCACGAATGCTCGAATCCCAGATCGCATGTGCTAAAATCTTGACGCCTTTTGCCTTCCAATTTCATATGCTGTTTTATATTCGGCTTCCCACACAAGTGTATTGGGGAATACAGGCGATGGTTATATGATCGCATTGATTATGATTCGATTGCGGAATCGAGTTCCGGGAATAAGCAGATGTAGAACTGAGCGGAGCGAAGTTCTTAATGTTTTATACCCGGGCGATGCTTTTTGGCATTGGCCAAAAACTTGATTTCGCAATCCCAATTTCTATCACGCTTGTATTCAATCGTTCCTTTGCAAGTCCCTTTCATGTCGTTTCTTATGCTCTTGGCCTAACGAATGTTGTGCACTTGCAATTTCTTGTTCAAGGGTGGGTGGGAGGGAGCGCCTCCTTGAACAGGCAAATTTTACACCCGCCCGCCCAACCCGGGGATATGTTCCTCGCTTAAAAAAGAGCGAACGCTTCTCTCTCTTTCTCTTGTGGTGCGCTTCACTGCTTAGCTTTGCAAACCTCTGCCTCGCCAGGTACATCCGCCATCTCGCGCGGTGAGGGGGAAATACAGCAGAGATTGAAGGATGCACCTGAAGTGGGGGATAGCTCGGCATCGCATGCCTCTTTCTCCTACGGCGAGCAATGCCTCGCACAGCAGCGCATCCTTAGCAATCTCTGCGGTAAAAAGGTGGATTGCCTACAGAACGCTCTGCAATTAATGCAATCCGTTTCTTTCGTTCGAACTAGATTAGAGAACGCTAGTTGTGAGTTTGTATTTTTGAGTCAACTGTGTTTTCTAACTTGTGTCGAATGTAACTAACGCTCTGCTTTGCTTTTCGGCACAAGCTCTCACGACTAGCGTTCCACATGCTTTGCATCGCATGCAAGAAATCTTTTTTCACCCACCCTCCACGCCCTGGGGGATAGCTCGGCATCGCATGCCTCTTTCTCCTACGGCGAGCAATGCCTCGCACAGCAGCGCATCCTTAGCAATCTCTGCGGTAAAAAGGTGGATTGCGTACAGAACGCTCTGCAATGCAATCCGTTTCTTTCGTTCGAACTAGATTAGAGAACTGCGCCGTTTGTTTTGAAACGGCTTTTCCTAATCCTCCTTATGTTTTTGTGCTAAAAACTCTCAGTGGAGAGGTGAGTGGGTGGGTTCGCGCCATGGGCGCCATCTCGCGTGTCCCGCCCTTTTGTCCTTTGAACCCCAACCCTAATTTGAGAGGTCTCCGCCTTGCTGGGGGAGCTTCCGGTGCCAGCGGGAACAGTTGGGGTGACTCCGAACTGCTGGGGGGCTGAGCTCCTGGTGCCAGCGGTCGTCTGGACTTGACCTCCCCGGACAAGCCCCAGATTCGCTGTGTGGAAAAAGTGTGGGCCTCGGGCGTGGTTGGGGTGGTTGCCTCGGTCCTGCTTGTTTCTGCACTCTGCTTGTGTTTGAGGATAACGTCCCAAATAACGTGTAGGACGATACTTTATTCAAGAAGACCATTTCCATTTTCTAGGGTTAAAGATTTCGGGTTGGGTATTTGGTGTATGGGGTTGAGGTTGGGCATGGTTCCACAGTATGGCTTTCATCATGTGCGTCTTGGGTTGGGCTTTTTTGGTGAGTTGGGAGTTGAGGTAGAGGTTTTTTATGGTTTGGGGGCTGGGGAGTGGTGCATGATTAGACAATGGAAATGGTCTCTGCTAGCTAGTTCAGGAAGGATTCGAATGTTCACGGCGTTGAAGCTAACCAGCAGTGAGCCAGCTTCCTGAATTGGCAGGAAACTGACAGGGATTCAGCACGTTAGAACGGAATTCAGAAAAAATCGGCAGTTTTGAACTGGCATTCATCAGCAAATTGGACTTCAAACTACCGAAAGCTGGCGTAGGGGGATACGTCATCTTCAATCAGTGTAAGACATTCCCACTAAACGTGCAAACCAAGAGTCGCAACACTTTGGTCCACATACTCTGGTAGGATGTACCAATAGTGGGTGGAATGTATCGATCACTTGGTACCGCTCCCGCTGGTGTCGAATGCGTCGGTTTGACATATGTATTCACCGCAACACAAGCTCGAATAATGGGGTCAGCCACGTCATGGTATCTTTTATGTTCAGGAAGACCTTGTGCCGTTCATCATTCTTCTGGTCCTTGCGTTCGGGGTGAGATTCTGCAGTGCCTTCAATTTCGTGAAACGTAAACCACATTCTGCACCTAGATTCTACCCTTCACGCTTTCGTGTTATCTTACACTGCATGGCTGCGAGCGATGGGCCACCAACCAAGATCTGCAGAAAAGACTGGGAGGATGTCATTCTAGCCAAAGGAAGTTATGAAAACACCTTGCCAGACCATGCAATGCCGTTTGTGAACAGAGCGACAGAGCTGTTTGCATTCATCGAAGAGAATATCAAGGCAATCCGGCAACTGAGCATCTCGACCCATGTCACGGACTATCGGAAGATGAAGGTGTGCTTTGCTGCACAGATGTTTGGCGCTGGCAAGACAATGTTGGGCTGCAGCCTTGTTTCCCAGCTGCAGTTGGCCGAATCTGCTTTGCAGGCCCACCTGAAGGCCTTTTTGGATAAAGAGAAGGCTAAGGGGGAAGATGGAAGAACATTTGCTGATTTCTTCATCCAAGAAGTGGAATTTTTCAAGCAAGCAGCACGGCTTTATGTGGACCTCAGGGTATATCAGATGTGGCCGTTGTGTTGTTTATAGTGGCCCGAGTTGCGAACACGGACATGCCCCAGCAAACCGATGTTGCTGAAGGAATTGCGGATGTGCTCATGAAGGCGGCGGAAATCACTCAGAAACCACTTTTTGTGCACTTGGATGAAATTGGGGGGTTCATCTCAGCGGATGCCCGGAAGCTACGTGATGGAGTGGTTCGCACGTGGACACGAATGAACCAGGAAGCTGTGAGGGGCCAGGTTATGCCCCGAATCTATTTTTATCTTTCTGGTAAAGGCGTGCCGCTTTTGGATTTGGGCAGTCCCATTTCTCCTGTTGGCATCAGGTGGATCATACTGGACAAGCTCCATGAGCAACACGTTGGTGTCATTAGAAAAGCACTGCTGAGTGAAGTTGATTGCTGCGAAGAGATTGATGGCTTGTTATGCCAATGGACTGGTGGTGCTCCGCGGCTGCTGCTGTACACTCTTCGTTATTTGTTTTCCTGGAAACCAAACTTGAGCACTGCACACGATGTTGATGTGGCCATGCAGGACGCCTATGCCTGCTTCAAGAACATGGACCTGGTCGCCAGAGACGTTTTCTTCCCAGCTGGAGCCAACCCAGACGCCACGGCCTTGAGAGATGCTTGGCTCCAGCTCCTGGTGCTTGCGCAGCTCAAGGTGCCCATCCAAATGAGCACAGAGATTGTAGCTCGAAACAAGAAGTACTCTGTCGAAAAGCTATTGTCTGTATTGAATGTCTATATCACAAGAGGATCAGGCGAATTCTTCTATATCGACAGCATAGATTTCATCAAGGTCTATGTAATGGAGACATATAAACAGGATTTCCGGGCACCGCTTTTTTGGTGACTCTGCCGGAGCAGGGCTCAGTGCTGATGATGTGCTTGAGCGTTTGGTGGAGCATCGCATCATTGTCCAAGCCTGCCTGGCTGACAAGATGACATGGGAAACGCTCCTGTCTCCGCTGCTTTTCGAATCCAAGCGTGCAGGTAAACGCGTCCAGTTGGACAAACATGCTCCAATCAAGTGGATGCCAGCAGCAACGGCAGCATCCAAGACAACTGTCACCAACGAAGACACCGAGGAGCAGATTTTGCAGAGACCGACTATTCCTTCACAAAGCCTCACCAAGGTTGTGAAAGACAAGTTGACGTCGAACCGAATTTACCTACCTCGGCCAAAAATCTAATTCAGCCGATACCATCATCAAGCAAGAAGACTTTGTGCTCGAGATACAAGACAAGAGCGGGCTAGCAGCTCCGTTGGATTGGGCTGCAGTCTGCACAGAGGCGCAAAGCTTAGATGGAACGTGGTTGTCACCGTTTAGATGTGCTGACTGTAGGTCTGCCCAGCAAACACAGCAAAGCATCCAAAGGATCGCAGGACTAGGAGAGCGCAGTAGTTTGGTGTGAAGTCTTGGCTTAACGTGCAGACGTGCAGAAGTGAGGTAACAGGAATCATTTCTTATGTTTGCAACTTGGCAGGTGGCGAAGTCCATTGAGGACACCGAAGTCTCCTTGCTGTTCATCGCGCTGGCTCTTGGCGGGGAGCTGTCTAGCTGTGTTGGGTCTGGATCGCTATGCCTGACTGCTGGCACCTACTGCATCTCAACGAAAGGGCTCTTGCTGTTCCGGCCAACGAAATCTAAAAAATGGACACATCAATGTTGCCATGGTATTTGGAACACATTCGATGGCAACAGTCAGACTGGAGACAAGAGATGCTTGCAAGTCAGACCTGCCTTGGAGGTCATCGTTGCTAGTGCCCAGGCCGTTGAAAGATTCCTCGGACCTGATGATTTCAACACTGTGACAAGATTGGCTGCTAGTGGCAAGGAGAGGTCACAGAAGATCTCCAGCCCTTTCATCTTGCGCTTCTTTGGCTTCGAGGTGGATATTGCCACGGAAGGCAGGCTTTCAAAGGCTTTCTATTTGTCATGTGCTCTCACTGATGGTGAATGGACACACTAAGACGACTTTCTTCTTATTCTAATCTTTGGTGTGTGACTAGTTCCAACAACCTGTTCAACCACCAGTTTTTTTAACTTTCAAAGACTTCCAGTTTTCCCCGTGGAACTAACCAGCTTTGGCGCTCCCCTGAGGCCAAACAATAAGCAGTTCTGGATCAGGCACATCGGTTGAAAGGGTTTTGAGACTGTAAGGAACCGTTTGATCTATGCTTTGATCTAAGGTAAACTTGTGGAACTGCATCTAGAAGGTTTCTGATGAACTGTCCATGTACGCTTTTGCTCTTCGGAGTCCTTTTCTCTTGTTTGATCTGCAATTCTCGGCTACCTTGCGTCCGTTAAAGCACCCTGTGAGGCCCATCTGCCGGACCTGCAGGCACAAGAGTTGCAAGGTTTGAGACCGTTGCTCCAGGTGCTAAGACATCTGAGCCCGTCGTCTGGGCGCGGGAGCTGGCCCGGAAGGACGGCGTTGTGTGCGCATGCAGTGTTAGCCCTGTGGTGGAATTCTCGGCCAGGCTTGGTGGGGGCGCGGGGCGTGGGGGAGGGGTTGGGCTCCGGATTGCTGGAGTGTTTCTGAGCGTCGACAGGGCAGAGTATGCGGCGGAGGTACACATCCGATCGCGGGCAGGGCTTCAGGAGGTGTTTCGGGGCTGGGAGTTTCGGCTGTTCTTTGCTGAAAGTGTTTTCTGCGAGTTTGCTGTCGGTTCATGTCTGCCGCAGTTTTGACCCGCTCGCCGCGCAGGATGGGATTGTCACCGCCAAGCTGAGGCCCAAGGAGGATTCCGATTGCCGGTCGTTTTGGAGCAGCGCCTCTGCGCAGATAAGGTCTCGTCAAGAGGGCGAGGATAAGCTGGAGCGGGCGTTTCAGGTTTCCCCAAAGGCCATCTTCGCTGCGCTATGTGAAGTGGAGTTGTCGATCGCATGTCAGCAGGACCACCCAGACTCGAGACTGAATAATGTGGACGACTTGGCGACAGACCCGGCCTCGGCATGTTTCCTTTTCCTGTCCCGACAGTTGCCCAAGTTCACGAGGCCATCAAGCAGACGAACCCCGTCAGTCTCAGGGACATCGATGCAAGGCATATCGACATCTACCTGTACTCACAAGAAGCGCGGAGCCCAGACTGCTGTTTTGTTGGCGCTTTCCCTAGCTTCCAATTTTGGCAGGCTGGAGAGTGGCAACTCGTCGAAGACGAATCGGAAGTCCTGCGTCGGGACACCACCAGGCCCAACCCTCGGCTCTGTTATCGGCCATTTGACTTCCACATGATGGCATCACTGCTAGGCAAGATTGCTACGGCTTTTTGCCGCAACGGGCAACCTGAAAGGCCGGGCGATTTGATTTGTTGAGGAAATCGGAGCATCAGTGCTGCGCAGGCGCCATCTAGCTCTGCACATCCTTTTGCACGTCTCGCTCAGTTTCACATGTCAAGGTTTGCATCATGCCAGTCTTCGGTGTGGTCAGTTTTGCTGCAAGTGGCGCGCTTAGATCGGCAGCAGTAGCGAGCTAGGTCACTGCTGTAGTGAACTAGATGACTGCAGCAAAGATGTCACTATTCCTGGCCACACTACGTTAGGTTCAGCTCTCGTGTCGTGCAGGTTCCCGGTTATCCCTAAGTCTCGCCCCTCAGCGCCCGAATCCTCCAGAACCCTGAAACTTACTAGGCTGCCCTGTGAGTGCCCTGCGGTGGCAAGGAGCCGACACAGTCGACATCCGCCGTGAGCAGCGGATGAGCCCGGATGGCCCACCCTCCTCGCACAATTGTTTGGGTTACTTAGAGTCAGACAGCATCGTATCTAGATGCCTAGGCGACTTAGGCCCTGACCAACACATACATGTATTTAAATCAGCCCTTTAAGTCTGCCTTACAAGGCAATATTTCAAATTTGTCTTCAGTCTCTGTTTGGAAACCCTAAATGCGTGGAAAACGGCGTGAGTGGGGCAAGCAGGGTGGCCGGAAACCTAGGGCCCGGCCAGTCTCGGAAGATCCCGATGCACAGGGGACGCGGGGACGGGGCCGACCGGCCGCAGCCTACAACATGTTGCAAACATCGCAATCATCATCGCAATCATGATTACCATCATCTTCACCGTCATCATCATCATCATCACCATCACCACCATCACCACCATCGCCACCATCGCCACCATCACCACCATCACCACCATCACCACCATCACCACCATCACCACGGCCGTCAACATAATCGTCATGCTCTGCCTTGACGCCGGCCAGCTATACGTTTGCAATCGCACGTGGCTTGCTCAGCCTTGCGCATCTTCTGAGAGATCGCATCTGCAGTTCACTGAGATGTAAGTTGCTTCGTCAGCACACGTTCTCTCCACCGCGGTAGAGTGCAGTGGACCCTAGAAGGTAGGCATAAGACATTGCGAGCTCTGTTGGTGTAACCGAGCCATGTTGCATGGACCAGAGGGGTCCAGCGAGGCGCGGGCTTTCTTTTGGTGCCCGGGCTGTTGCAGATCTCAGCCGTCTGTGCGGACACATCTCAATTTGGGGATGATCGCACCTAAATCCCAGTCCTGGCAGGGCCCCGTGTGGTACCGGCAGCAGGATGGCCTGCTCTGGAACCAGCCGCTTTTAGCAACAAGGATATTGGCTTGTAGATGCAACCGGGTTCAAGACTTGGGCAGGGTGCTAGTTGCCAAAGTCCAGGAAAAGGTTTCAGCGTTTCGGCAGTACTCGTGTGGACTTTCATTGTGGCCACTTCTCTTTGGAGTAGGCTGAAGCCTTGACATGAATCGTTCGAGGCTAAATGCTCTCCACTACCAGCTGGTGCAGAGCAATCATCAGCTGAGTCTGCCGGGAACCGAGACGTTGAAACTACTTTCAATCGTTGCGTGAGCAGATGCTGCAGATCGAGTTGCAAGCATGCGCTCACCCGCAGCCCTCACCCCAGACCGACTTCGGCAGATAAGGCAGCAGAACCTGATCCTCGGTCTGCAAGAGCAGCCAGGGCCTGAAGATCAGCAATCGAGCGAGGGAGGGAGGGTTTCACGATCTCCGCTTGATGGATTACGCAGGTTGTTTCACCGCTGCTTGCAGAGCGATGCGGACCAGAATCTAATCTGGAAGCTTGTGGGAAAGCTCCTCGAGCCTGAGTCTGCTGGTTGCAGAGTCCTTTGCGGAAATCTTTCACCAGGTCCTTAACTGCTATGCGTCGAGTTGACAAATTGAGTGAGGTGCAGTGATGTGGGCAGGGAGCAAGTGGAGCACAGACTGGAGCATGCGCAGAAGCAAATCCAGAAACTCGAAAAGAAGCGCCTCGGCTAGTAACGGAGACTTTGTCAAGTTCAGGAAATGTCGTGTCTACGCCGCCCATCCTCGGCCCATCACATGCTAGTGATTTCGAGGTTGCAATGGGAAGCCACGAAGCGTGACGACAACTGCTTCCTGAGCCAGACTGCCATCAGCGTTCTTGAGGAGCAGGTGCAAGACCTGCAGTCTGCTATTGAGATCTTGGAAGAGGAGCAGCTGGGCTGAAGTGACTTTCAGGACACATTTGCCCAAAGAAATCGAGGGGCCTGCAACACTCGCATCGTACAATCAACTCGGCTCTCGTGTGTTTGTAGCACCAATCTAAAGACTGTGTTTGGGCTTTGCGCCGCTTTCGCCGCTCGCAGAATTCAAGCTTTGCGTTGGAATGCTTTCCCACGTAGTGCCTTGCCATTTGCCTGAGGCACATCTCACAAGAAATGTAAATCTATCTCGCGACGAAGCATGCGCTTTAATCACACAACCCAAGACTCTGTTTGCGCAGCGGCTCAGTGCCAAGAGAAGCTTCAAATACAAGGAAGCGGTCAATACTTTCCGGCTGAAACTCAGGCGCAACCAGTGCACTGCTGCTAGCACGGTTGCCTCCGAGCACGTTTTGCAGTTCGGGCAGCCTGTTGTAAAGCTTGCTACTAGGGTGGCTAGCTCATGGTGGGTTTGCCACGCGCAGCGCCGTTCCGTTCGTGAGCCTGCGAGTGCGAAACGGGCGGCTTGTCCTGCTGCCTCACATGTTAGCAACACCTGCATGTGATTAGTGTCACATCCTGATGCCTTCGAGAGCACCTGGCTTGTTGCGACCATCTCACAGATTTCATATTATGCAAGCTTCCTCGATGTTGTCCCCGCAAAACGGGATGTCCATTCCCACAAGCCAGGCACCCGAGCTGAGCGTTTTAGGTGGTTGCATGGACTAAGGCATCGGGCCTGCAGCTGCACCGCAGGTGATCAGCTCCTCGGCTGATGTTTTGCTCCGGGTCAGGAGTCAGGGGCCAAATCGGGTCCGAGATTCCCCAATAGCTTGCTGGTAGAGAGGAACTTGCGAATCACTAGCTTGCTGAACAACAGCAACCTGCAGATTGCAATTCCCCACTAGCTTCAAATCTGCGAACTGGAATGCTCCACTAGCTTGTTGGAAAACAGGGGCCTGCTACTTGGAATTAGCTTGCTGGAAAACGAGGACCTGTACACTAGAATTCACTGTTAGCTTGCCGGAAAAGGATCGACAAGTTGCAATTCCCCAACAGCCTGCCAGCAGCACAAGCGCAGGTGCTGCAAAGCGGAGCCACCGCTGGCAGGCCAATGCGATGGCGAGGACAGCTTTCTTTTTCAAAAGGCACTCGTGAGGATGTGAGGTATCACGGAATGTGACAGGCGAGCAGGTCTAAGCTATCCATCGAATCCAAACGTTTGGATGCTCTTCCCAGGATAAGCATTTCCCCGCAATTTACCTGTCGCACCGAGACGTCGTCGTCTTAGTCCAACATGCATGTCCTCAGCAATCCACGGAGCTGGTGATGCCCGCCACCAGCCGCCATTGCCCCACCATCACACAAGACTGTCTGCGCGATGGCAGGAGCCAGTAGCGACGGAGGGCGCGCCTCCAACTGCTGCTGCGCCGCGACAGCTGCAGCTCTGGAACGGCGATCCGCACCTCGCTTGCAAGACCGGATCGCGTTGTAGGGGTGTCTGCAGCACTCTGCCGCCGAGGTGCCGGGAGATTCCGTGTGACACGATTGCAAATCCTGACGAAAAGCAGGGCTCTCAGAAAAACACCGCGTCCGAACAGGGCACAGGGTGGAAACACCTTGCGGAATCAGCCAATGCTCACGGACACAGTGCTGCTGTGACACGGGAAAAAAAGGTGGGACAGGGAGCTCTTCCCTTGTGCTCTCCCCCCTAGGCTTAATTCAGACGACTTTACACCACAGACCGCAGACCAGGCCTCAGACCTTCCCAAACCATTTTGTTCTCACAACGGCAAGCTGCATGTCAATGTGTGCATACGTGACATGCGGAAGCCCAATGATGTCGACGATAGTGCCCCTATACGTCGTCTGAATCTGGCAAGTAGTTGCTCCACATGTGGAAACAGTTGGAAACCGCACGCGGAAATTGTTATTGACTGGACTACAAGGCCATATTCACACACCTTTGAATGTCCCCTGCCTGCCTCGCACGTTAAAACACTTGCTTGTGTGATTTGTGTCACATCCCGGATGCCTTCGAGCGGAACTGACTTGTTGTTACAACTTGAAAGCAAGCTTCCTCGATGTCGTGTCTGCAAGCTTGGACAGCCGAATCGTCGCATCGGCGATGCTGAGGCCGCCCAAGAAAAGGAGAAGTCTTGGTGAGAGCACCAAAGCTCCCGACGACGGCGACTCGTGCGATGAGTCTCCCACGTCGGAGGCGGGCTTTGAAGGCAGTCGTGTGGGTTTTGAGGTTTTCAAGGCACCCAGGCCAGCGTTGGAAGTCAGGAAAAAGCTAGCCCCCTTAAACTGGCAGAGCTTTCAATCGATGGCTTATCCATGCTCGAGCTTACGAGATTGCTTGATGGACAGACTGTGGCTAAAAATCATGAAAGACAGCGCAAAAACGAGGCCAAAAACGATGGGTGTGCATCCTGTACGTCCTGTACCATTTCCGAGGGGGGGCAGTGGGGTGGGAGGGGTGGGGAGGGGAGGGGGGGGGATGATGACGACACTGTTACGTGCACACCCCGAACAATATCACCAAAACATCTACTCTACTTGGTCGTTGCAGTGGATTCGTGATGTCGGACCAGTCTCAAAATCTACTTCTCGACGTTGTGTACGCGAGTCTTGCGGTGCTCCGCGTAAAGCGTTTACAAGTGCTGCGGACAAAGTTTGCGCAACGCAGTGCTCGAAAAACTGGTTTTTTCTGCAGCGCCAGCCCCATTATTCTGCGCTTTTCCCATCACTGCTTTGTAGCCTGAACGTGCGTATTCCCTGGGTTTTGCGCATTGCCTGTTTCTGCTCATTATGCCGCCAAACGCCGGTCACATACAGGGGTCCTTTCCAAAAGCGGACAGGGCATAATGACGAACGCGGTAAAACAGGGCAGAATGATCCGTGAGCAGAATGGTAATGAGCTGATAAAATCTCAGTGGGCTGACATGACATGATAAAAAAAGTGGGTGACACTCAAATGAGCAAGGGAGAATCAGGTGACAGTGTTATTCTAACCCAATGATAACCAAGTACTGTAGTGTCAGTTAGTAGTACTATGGTAATCAAGTGATAACATCATGATAAAGACATGATAATGAACATGATGAGCAGCAACGAACATGATGAGCAGCGACACCGAATATGCAGATGAGCCGGTGCGAAGGAATATAATGGTGATGTATGATGATGTAGACCATGAATATTGTGCCTTTGCGGAAAGAGCCGGAGAGAGACCAGGAAACAATTCTGGAATTTTACGACAAGCAAGGAGAGCCTTAGGACATATTGAGACGTAGCGGTATTGTCAATTTTCCAAACCTACTAGTATGTTGTTGAGAGTTAGTTGTCCATCATTCTGCTTTCGATATCTTTCGATGCTGGCCCCCCACCTGCCTAGACCAGGTTCCGGGATGAATGAATCGATCACAAACAGATGATGCACGCAAATGATAACCAACATGAAGTTGAACTGCGCAAATGCGTGTTTCTAGATGCACATGTTGTTCATGAAGTTCATGAAGCTTGAGCCATCTAGGACGGAATGACAGGGGCCAGACTTCAAACGAAGTAACACGTGCGGCCGGGGCTCCATTTGTTCTACTAACTGTGGTTATCCACACGCAGGCAACTCGGGTGGTTGCCCTGTGTTTGTTTTGTTTGTGGAGGTTGAAGGCATCGATCAGCAACTTCCTGACAGTTGGGGGCTGCCGGAGACGAATGCTTGAGCAACCCGAGGAGCTGGCAGGCACCGAAGTTGGCGGTGGGGAATACACCCCCTCCGACCTGCATTTGCTACTCGGCTTATGTCAGGGTTTTGACCGAAGAATTTCAGCCGATCCAGCGTCCATCGCAACGTGTCTGCCGAACATGCCGAGCAAGCTTCAGGCCAAACTTGTTGCCGTACCTGAGTGTGGCTTGGTTGCGAAGTGGCCCGCGGCAGGGCTGTCGACAAGCTGCTGCAAGTTGTTGTTTAATTGAAGAACTCTACACAGCACACAGCAAAGGTGCAGGAGTTGCTGAGCTGGCGCCTCCTTTCGCGACGCACCAGGAGCCCCGAGGCCTGCAGTCTGGGCCTGCTTCGTTTCGGGGAGGCAGTGGCTCGAAGATGTGTATGTGCTACCAGCAGGTGTTAATACAGCACGTGGCCGAGATGGGCAGCATGGACAGGCTCGCAAGGGATCCTGTCTGCCTGTGACAGCAATTACAATTGACAGCAGTCATGGCACGTCACAAATGTGCATGTCAGCGGTGCTCTACTGCTGTGCAGGCCAGAAGCTATTACCGCTTTCGCAGAGAAGGTGAAGATGTTCTGCGACAATCCGGCAGCATCCTTCGCGGCAGCTTTACAAGGCGATGCTCAGCTCTACGACTCTGCCTTTCAAAACAGTGCCAAGCAGCAGAAGCTCTACGAGTGCCTCCTGACCTGTTGAGCATGATGCACGGCCAGCACACGAAGTAGGGCTCATGAAAGTCTTCGGGGGAGGGGGGAGGGTACATCACAGCATATCACAGCCATCACGGTTTACAGAATGTAGGGATCCTTTTGGGCATAAGATCTGACTTTCTGCATCACTCGGTTGTAGTGACATCAGCCTGACGCTGATTCATTCTGAGGCCAGTCGTGGTGTATGGCCCTTGCGTCCAACGAACGAGCTCATTTTGCTGAAGTCCACATTCGCCGCATTGTCGGCAAGAACCTCGAATCTTTGCTGTGGCACCACCGAAGTGCGGATGCATCCGTTGCCAAAGCCGCCAGCCTCCTTGTTTTCAACTACGCTTCTGATGCCCTCCCGTTCGTGCAGCAGCGCATTGCGGAGGTCATGTTAGACCTGATTGAAGACTTCGTAGAGTCCAACATACCTGCCAACTTGGTGGAGAGTCAGAAGTGTATCCGAACGCTTGAGAAGGTATTGCGCTCGCTGAGCAAGCCTCAGCGTCAACGGGCGGTGTCGCTTATGGTCAAGCTGGTAATGGACCCTCACGTCCCCAAACAGGCAGTGATCTGGCAGCTGAAGATGCTGTGGCTGGCTGACGACAATCCCAGACAAACCTATGCACAAGCGCATCAGCAGCTGCAGATTGTCGCCAAGTCCGACACCGCAGCTTTGAAGAATGACCTACTGATCCTCCTGAACAGCTGCTGAAGTCTGCATCCGAAAGCCAATGCGCATCAAAGAGATTTGACATGAACTGACTGTGCTCGTGCAGCCTACAACATGTTGCACACATCGTAATCATCATCGCAATCATGATAACCATCGTCATCATCAACATCATCATCAGCAGCAGCATCGTTATCACCGACATCATCATCATCATCCTCATCAACAACAACAGCATCGGCACCAACATCAAAATTAACACCGACATCAACATCAGCACCACCACCACCATCACCACCATCACCACCATCACCACCATCACCACCATCACCACCATCACCACCATCACCACCATCACCACCATCACCACCATCACCACCATAGCCACCATCACCACCATCACCACCATCACAACCATCCCCACCATCACCACCATCACCACCATCACCACCATCACCGCCATCACCACCATCACCACCATCACCACCATCACCATCACCACCATCACCACCATCACCACCATCACCACCATCACCACCATCACCACGGCCGTCAACATAATCGTCATGCTCTGCCTTGACGCTGGCCAGCTATACGTTTGCAATCGCACATGGCTTGCTCAGCCTTGCGCATCTTCTGAAAGATCGCATCTGCAGCTCACTGAGATGTAAGTTGCTTCGTCAGCACAGGTTCTTTCCACCGCGGTAGAGTGCAGTGGACCCTAGAAGGTAGGCGCAAGACATTGCGAGCTCTGTTGGTGTAACCGAGCCATGCTGCATAGACCAGAGGTCCAGCGAGGCGCGGGCTTTCTTTTGGTGCACGGGCTGCTGCAGATCTCAAATGCCAGTCCTGGCAGGGCCCCGTGTGGTACTTGCAGCAGGATGTCCAAATCGCCCTGCTCTGGAACCAGCCGCTTTTAGCAAGAAGGATGTTGGCTTGTAGATGAATCGTGTTCAAGCGTTCGGCAGGTTGCTAGTCGCCAGATTTCAGCGTTGCTGCCTTACTCGTATGGACTTTCATTGTGGCAACTTCTCTTTGGAGTAGGCTGAAGCCTTGGCATGAATCGTTCGAGGCTAAATGCTCTCCACTACCAGCTGGTGCAGAACAATCATCAGCTGAGTCTGCCGGGAACCGAGACGTTGAAACCACTTTCAATCGTTGCGTGAGCAGATGTTGCAGATCGAGTTGCAAGCATGCCAGTCCGGGCACGGAGTCAACGTGAAACTCACCCGTAGCCTTCACCCCAGACCGACTTCAGCAGATTAGGCAGCAGAACCTGATCCTCGGTCTGCAAGAGCAGCCAGGGCCTGAAGATCAGCAAGCGAGCGAGGGAGGGAGGGCTCTACGATCTCCGCTTGATGGATTACGCAGGTTGTTTCACCGCTGCTGGCAGAGCGATGCGGACCAGAATCTAATCTGGAAGCTTGTGGGAAAGCTCCTCGAGCCTGAGTCTGCTGGTTGCAGAGTCCTTTGCGGAAATCTTTCACCAGGTCCAAAACTGCTAGGCGACGAGTTGACCAATTGAGTGAGGTGCAGTGATGGGTATAGGGTTTTTGCGCTTGGGTTTGGGACCTTCAGACTGAACACATGAGCATCAAGAATGCCATGGAGGGATCCATTTGGGAGGTATAGTGCAATCAGCGTAGCATAGAGCTTCGAGCCATTGAGGATGGGGGGCTCCTTATCGATAGATGGAACCTCTCTATGAGAGAGAGATAGCTAGATAGATAGATAGAGATATAGAGATAGATAGACAGATAGGTAGATAGAGAGACAGATGGAGATACTGGTAGGTTGTATTTATATCAGAGTAAGCCCCGATACCCTCATCTAATATGAAAGCCCCTTATACAAGGCGTTTGAGAGCGCTTGGTAGAATTTGGGTTTTGGGTGCAGAGTAGTTTTAAATTTTGGTTCAAAGCGGGTAGCAGCTTCAGGCCATTAGACTCCACTATCCCTTAATTTAGGAGCTTCAGCATCATCGCGAAAAGCCGCATTGTTGTGACAGCATTCGGCTCCAACCGTAGCTGCATCGGGTAACCCGCATTTTCAGCGGTATATGCGGCGTTTGGCGATGTTCTTTAAACAAACTCCAGCGCCCTGGAGCGAGCATCATGCGCATCAGCCTTGCCCCTTGGACGGCCTTGGGGTGTCCCGCGCGCATGTCTTGTCACCGTCGTTTCGCGCATCTTTTTGGCAATGCCCGGCCGGACCACTGATGCGCATGATGCGCGCCCGCATCATCAGCATCAGCTGCACCGCATCAGCTGCACACACATCAGCACGCTATCTATTTGTCTGTCTGTACATCTATGTATCATTCTCAGCTGCACCCACATCGCCACGCTGTCTATTTGTCTGTCTGTATATCTATGTGTCATTCTGTACTTGCAAGACTTCCTACTGTATCTGTGCACACAGAGCTCCCATGCACGAGAGACTGAGGACCGACTGGTCGAAGCTCGGCACTTAGCTAAGTTGGTCCTTCTGATCTTTTTGCTCAGAAATCTCATTGTCAGGTGCCGACTGTTTGCACACAGGAGGTCGTCAGAGCTGTGCCGAAGCTCGAGGCTCTTAGCGGCACATGGTTTTTTCGAAACTGGCCTGGCGAGCCGCTGCCAGGTCCATGAAATCATCAAAGAGGTGCCAAAGATAGAGTACCAGGCACCTCAGCCAGGGCGAAGAATGCCAGTCCGAATGAAAGGGGTCCCTTCCTCCAAAAGAATCTTCCTGCATTCACGTGCCAGGTTTCGGAGCGAGTGGTAGAAGTTCCAGAGGCTGGGAATCCTAGGAGCGCAGCGTTGCTGCATGAGAAATGCTACAATCACCAGGTCTGCTACGTGGAGACGATTGTAGAGGTGCCGGAAGTGCACACTCAAGAGGTGGTTCTTGCCTTAATTCTTTCAAGTTCATGATATGATTGTCATTCCCTTCGAGCGCTGCCTGCTATTCAAAGCCTTTCTTCGATGTACATTCGTGGCACGGTCAAGGTCAGAACCGTCCCGAAGATCGAGATTCAGGAAGCTGCCTTGGCCTGAGCTCCTCATATACTTACCTCTGCATCGTACCTCCGTGACTTCTAGGGTCAGAGGTGGCATGTTGCAGCCGTTGCAGTCGAGGCAAAAACCGTTCAGGCAGGAGAACGGGAGACCGATGGTTGCCGAATCTCAGCTCGTGGTTCCAGTCAGATGATCCTGATTTGGGGGATCGTGGAGGTGCCGTCGCGGTCATGCGGCTACCAAGTTCCCCTAGGAATTGACTCCTTGACACGTAGGGACGACGTAGTTTCACAATGTTTTGTGATCTTGCGGGTTTTTGCACCTTGTCTCAGCAGTGTGCAGGTGCCAAAGGTTTGCACTGTGGAGAAAGTGGTTGAAGTGCCTCAAGTCCAGATTCAAGAGGCCGATCCAGTACCTCGCCTGGAGGCCTGCTTCTTTTCTTCGGCCGCTGAACGATGCATGGCTTGAGTAGGGATTCTGGAGTTCACACATTTTCGCGATTTATGCACTTCTCGCCAACTTCCGCCAGTCTGTTCCATAGCAGGTCCAGGAAGTTATCCACAAGGTGCCAAAGGTAGGTGTCATCCAACGCTGGTATGTGGTCTTTGGTCGTGCCACGCTTGCTGTGTGACTGTATGAGATCCTGTCGCAGGTTCGAAAAGTTGAGAAGCTGGTGGAGGTACCTCAGGCCCCTCTGAGCACTGACTAGCTGTCCGTTGCCATTGTGGATGTCGCTGGCTTTGACCGCTCCTTCCGTCACGTAGACACCACCCTGTGAGTACCTATGCTCTGCTGGCCAATGATTGCTGTGATTTGTCATGGACATGTGTACATGTGCGTCTGCATCCTGGTTAGGATTCATGCCAACTTTGTCTCACTTACGCAGCTTGACTGCTCAAGACCGACGGCTCTGCGTCAGGTCCAGCAAAAGGTCCGCTAGCGCCTGGGGGTTCTAGTGTTGCCTTTCCGCTGAGCGTCAAACTAACGGTATCAATCTCTGATAGTCCTTGCTTTGCACCGCTTGCTTTGCTCTATCTACGATTGGTTGCCTTGGGCTTTGTGACCGAGAGTTGAGTGGAATCCTCCGCTTTTCACAGGCTATCAGCCGTAGGGCCTCCGCATCCGATTGTGGATTGCTGCTTCGCTGCTGCTGCTTCGGCACTCGGAACGCCTGATCCAATCAGTGTCCGATCACTACCGTTTTCCTGGCTCAGACCAAGTTCGGAGCTTGTGATTGGCCGCGCCACCGAGAGAATGGCGACTCCGATCGGTTCTCCCCGTGTCCCTTCGACTGTCGGTTCTTCACTAGTGACGCCAGTTGCTCGGGATGTCGTGGAGCCCGATGATAGTGCCCACGCATCTCGCTGCACTGCACCCGCCTCGCACGCTTCACTTGCTCGCTCCGCTTCGCTGCTTGCTTCGCCGCCTGCTGAGGACGATCAGAGAGCTCAGCATCATGCGCCGCTTCTGCCATGCTCTGCTTGCCGCTTTCGCAACGCCTGGCACGATGCACGCCGGCACGCTGCCTGCTTCTGCCACCGCTCGTGCTCTGCCTTTGTTGCCTGCCTTTTCTGCGTCCGCTGCTTCTGCTGCTTCCGCACCTGCCCTTCTTCCGACCGATCTTTTCTCTTGTCCTCTGTCCCTTCGCGGGGATCCAGAGGGCGCTCGGGCCCTCTTTGGGTCCGGGCCAGACGACCGTGGTCCACCGATTTCGGACCCGGCGTCTTTCCGTCCACCGCGCCCCGATTCTTATGGGCCGGTGGCTGGCCGCGGTGGAGCCCCGCTCCCCGACGTGCCCATGAGCGAGCACCCAGATGCACCCCATGTTTCCGTCGCAACGATTAACGCGGCGGTTCATGGTGGTGCCGCCCCCGCCACTGATAACGGCGGGAGGCTCACTGGTCCCTGCGCTGTCAGGGCCCTGGCCCTGGTCGATGAAGCCATTGGGTCGGACGCATCCGCGCGCATCGCCGCCGATATTTTGGCGATCGCGCAGGGTGTGACCAACACCCAAGCCGACCTCGATATTCTGAGGAACGGCGTCTCGGACATCACTGAAGCACTTGAAAACAAGATCCGAGACATGTGGGAGCTTCTTCAGGCCGAGTTGAAGAAGGAGCGTGAACTATACACGATCCTTCAGGACTCTTTCCGCGAAAGGCGGATTTCTGACCATGAAACGCTTGAAGAGCATTTTGCGAGGCTCAACTCGATGGTCAACGATCGATTCATTGAGTTCGATGAGCGGATCCACCGATTTAATGAGAAGCGTGCTGGATCGATATCCATGCAGCTTGCTGACACGATCCGCCACATCAAGCATTACCCGGATGCGCTGCAACAAATCCAGATCAATATCTCAAATGCTGAGGCGCGCATCGCTGCGGTCGAGCAGAATGCTACTCACCGTATTGAGGTCATTAGATCCGAGATGAGCCGTGCTCTCTACGATCATAAGGAGAGTAATCGAGTTCTCATCGATCAGCTTACCGCTCGCATTCAGCATCTTGAGAGCGCTCAATTCCGCAGGGGTGGTTCTGACATGTCGACGCCTTCGCGCCCGGAACGGGCGCAATTCTTCGATATCAGTGACCACGATGGGGATATCTCACGCCCCGCGGATCTGCCACCAGTTCCTGGTGCTCTATTCCCTGGCGGACAGACTACTGCCACCCCGAGATCTTCACTGTTAGGTCCGATTGATCATGGCTCTCCGCCGGGATGCAATGCTGCACCTGCTGAAAAGGCCTCAACGGTGCACTCTCAGACGAGTGGCATCAATCTTGATGAGATCTTGAGGCGAGCGCAGCAACGAGTCGCTGACGAACATCTTGGCGAAAGTCGCGAGCAAAACAATCCTGTTGAGCCCGTTCGGCAAAATTATGGCCAAACGTCAGCCTCTTTTTCGGGAACATCGCCGGATCCGGCCGTTCCTCCCGCAGATGCCGCTGGAGCGATTCCCGGTCAGGCTCCGAGCCTCAGGCCGAATCCAGTCGACGATGCTCTTCGCACTGACGTTCGGCCCATTCCTGAAGCTCGAAGCTTCGCTCCTGAGCCCAGGTCGAGCCCGACCTTCCCTTGCCAGATCTCATATGACACTCGTACCGTTCCGGCAGGGAAGGGACCATCGAGATGGTACAATGCAGATTCTCCACAGTGAAACTGGCACTTTCACGTTGGCACCGCACACTACCGTCACAACAACACTTCGACCTACCGCAACGATTGATGCCATGCCCCCGATGCCCACCTTCGAGGCCAGAACGTCTGTTCCGGCTCCGACTGCTGCGCCCTCCGTCTATGCCCCACGGGCATAATGATCCTCCTGGAGGCAACGGCCCCAACGATAACGGGGGTGCGTATGGCGGCGGTTTTGGTGGCCATGGCCATCAAGGGTCCGGCTTCGGACCTGGTGGCGGTGGTGGTCCATCTGGCGGGCCTCCCGGCGGTCCGCCGGGTGACGGTGGCCCTCCTGGTGGGAGTGGTCCGCCCGACGGTGGCCTTGATCCGCCGAGCATCCGGCCCACTGGGCGACCGAGTGGGAGCGATACGTTCCAGTGCGAGCGCTGCACTGGAACTTTCCCAACCACGGTGCGACGGCTATGCATTTCCTGCCGATTCTCATGCTGCAACGGATGTTGCCGCGACCCGTTGAGGATTTGTCTGGTGTGCCTTGAGAGGCAAACAAGGAACCTGCCTGGTCCTAACGATTCGGGATCAGGCGGATCCAAGGGTGACGGATCTTTGAGCGATGCGAAGAAGGCAAAATGCAAATCCTTCCGACTCGATCCCGAACCCGAGCCAGCTCAGTTGCGGCGATGGATCGTCGACATGAAAGAGCGAGTTGCTAACGCTTTTGCGTACGATCCAGCCTACGCACTCTCTTGGGTCGAGATTCCCGATGGCGCTCGATACGAGGACTTCCTTGAGGAATGCAAGTACGTAAGTACGGAATGCTCGAGAACGAGTGCAATTCGGCCTTCCGTGAGTGCGTTAAGTTTATCGCGCTTAAGAACAAGATCCAAACCGAAACCGAGCGCATGCACACGATTAATCGGCGACTCGGAAGTAGGCAGATCTTGTGGCTGTTGTACGACTTTCTCCGACCGCATGTTACTGGCGATTCGACTTTCAAGCTCGTCGACGTTGTGAAGACCACGATTGACCGGTTTACACATGGGACCGAGCAGGAAAGGCTGGAAGCCTTTACTAATCGGTGGGATCACGTTCTTGCCGGAATTTCCGTCGATCGCCCGGAAGACCCCTTTCTCTGTGCCCTCTTTTACGAGCAAGTTCGAGAGTTTCGATGCCTCGAACTCGATATGCAGCTGTGGGACAGAGATGTGTCCGTGCGCAACTACGCATACCTGCGAACTGTCTGCATCAATGCGATTACAACCTGGCGCAGGAGGCGCAATCAAGAGAAGATGTACACTGCCACGCGCTCTTCATCTGCACAGAGACGATACGCTGCGCCTGCGCACGGAAGCCCACGAAGGTCCTTCTCTCGAGGAAAGAGGGGTTCCAGATCGCCGGGGCGCCGTGACTCGAGAAGGGGAAGTCCGCATCGGCGGAGCTCGCCAAGGCGTTCGTCGCCCAGACGATCCTCACCGAGACGTGGCTCGCCGAGGCGGTACTCTCGCAGCCCCGGAAGAGCTGCCCCTGCGCCAACGCGCCGGTCGCCATCACGATCCCCTCGAGGGCGGGAGATCTGCTACGATTTCAAGAACGGCAGATGTTCTCGGGGAAATGGCTGTAAGTTCTCCCACAACATGAAGGGGAGAAGTTCCTCGCCTAAGGGATTCCCGCCTCGATCACAGTCACCAATTTCGAAGGAGTCTGGCATATGCTTCTATTACGGGCGAGGCACTTGTACCAAGGGTGACAAGTGTCCCTATAAGCATGTGAAGCCTGGTGCCCCTGCCGAGAGCACCTCTGTTGCCGCTCCTGCGCCCGCTGAACCCGCGCCGAGTACACGGCGGGTCGACAGCCCGGCGCCTACGCCCTCGGATTTTTGAGAGGGGCGTGCCGCAACCCTCAGGCAATGACAGCATCCTCCTATGGAGACTTTGCGTTCGCTTGTGCTGCATCGTTCGATATGGCATGTCCGTCACTCAAGTGGAAGACAGTATCATTTGGGAATACTGAGACCCGCGTGATTGAGTCTTCTTTCCCGGAGCCAGTCTTCGGCCCTGTCAATCGCGAGAGGAATTTGAACTATTCGTGGCCGGAAGATATCCGTGGTCTGAATAGTGCTCGCGAGAAGCGTAGGGCTCATATGAAGGCTGTGCTTTGGCGAGAGCAGGTTTTGCTCGATGACGTTGATGCCAAAACGCTGGGCAATGATGCTTGTGTCCTAGAGCTCACGCTTTCGAAGCGGAGCGCCTGCGAAGTCTTTGCTGCTGCTGTCAAGTCTGTCAAGAGGGTACGGAGACTCATGCTTGACTCCGGTTGCGGTGTGGACCTTATCGGTCTAGGTGACTTGTCCCGTGAGGAGAGGGATCTGATCGTTCAGAACGCCAAGATCAGTCTCAGGACCGCAAATGGTAAGACCAATACCAAGGGTGTGGCGCATATGCGGATCGATGGATTGGATGAGCTGATTGAGGCATATGTGTTGGAAAGTACACCGAGCCTCCTATCCTTAGGGAAACGATGCAAGGAGCTCGGTTATCGATTCGTTTGGGAGCCATATTGCGACCCGATATTCTATGATCCCAGTGGGAGACGGCTCAAGGTCGATGTCATCAATAACATTCCATACCTCGCTCCGAGTGAAACCGAGGTTGTGGCTGGTCGACCTGATCTCCCGCGTGTTTACCCGGCTCTCCCAGCGCCCATTATTGTTCACGAAAAGGTTGCCGCAGCTGGTGAGGAGCCTGCCGACGAGCTAGACGACATTGGAGAGCTCGATCGTGATATGCCTGGCGTCAAGGGTGCCGATAAGAATACACCTGACGACGCCAAGCGGGGCCATGGAAAGCCTAAGCCTCAGTCGCCGCCCGATGAACCTAGAGCGCGCGACTTGAAGGAAGAGGCGAAGTCCATCCGTCACCTCATGACCCATCTGCCCAAGAATACCGCTGCGATGCCTGCCAACGTGCGAAGATGGAGAATGTCAAATCGTTCCGCCAAGACTCCCCGCGCGATAAAGGGTTTGAGAAGTTTGGCGAGCATGTTACCAGGACACTATGGTGTTGCACGGGCTTGGCAATCGCGGGAATAATGGGGAGACGGATGCTGTTGTTTTCTATGACTTAGCCACCGAATGGCTGGAGAGTGTTCCCGTCAAGGGAAGAACGAATGCCGATACGCTGCGAGCGTTCCAACAGGTCTTTGGTGATCTTAAAGATGTGAACTCGTTCTCCATGGATGTGGAAAGAAGGTATGCGCCTTCGGAAGTCCGGGAGATTTACTGCGACAAAGCTCGCGAGTTCATTTCGACCTGTAAGAAAGTCGGCATCTCAGTGAAGCATTCCACACCTGGGATGCCTCGAACCGACGCCATTGCCGAAAGTAAGGTGAAGCTTGTCCTTCATGGCGCGCGAGTAGCGCTAAGACAAGCAGGTTTGAGCGCCAAGTTTTGGCCGTACGCGTGTAAGCACTTCTGCCATGCTCGCAATATTGAAATGCGCGAGGGTCAGAGTGCTTATACGCAACGGTTCAATGGGGCCGAATTTGACGGTCAGATTCTTCCGTTCGGGTGCCTTGTTGACTTCTATCCCACGCCGGCGCGAAAACAGACCCGGCGGAGCCAGAGGGATGAAGTCGTACTCGGCGATGGTGAAGAGTGTGCAGTTCCTGCGCCTGGAGCTGATGGGCTGATCGATGTCGAGGTTGGTTTCGATGATGACGGATACCTAGAATGAATTGACGATGGAGGCGACGATCGATCCGGTTCTCTCCAGGGCACAGATGTTGATCAGCGACCATCGTCTTACCAACGCCCCAGCAAATTCTCTCCCACGAGTAAGCCTGGTATCTTTCGCGGATACCACTTCGAAAACGGGGGCAAGTGGGACGGCGATTACATTGTCACGGACCTTGAAGATTTCAAGCGCGATGCATTGCGTGCGAGCGTCCATCAGGTCAAGACAGTTTATTGCTCACCCAAAGAGCGATGGACGTTCCCAATGCTGGCGGTATACGATAAACAAACCCGCTCAGTATGCGTCAATGATCCTGCGATGCTGTCTACCGTGCCAAAGCCGAGTGAGCGCCTGGACGCCTCTGATATGCTCGAACTCGAAGATAACGATGAAATCTTTGCCCTCGACGAGCCGACACGAATGACCGATGATGATATACGACAAGCTCGCGAGGCCGAGTTGCGAGCCGAATCCTCTCACGGAGGAGTTGTCGATTACTGGGAATATGATCCATCGATGCATAAATGGACGTATCACGTCGTGGTGCCGAGAAAGGCGATGGTCCATCCCAGCAAGACTCCCGGATCCATTGGCGAGTCGCCTGATCCGTGGAAGCTGAGCACGGTACGCATATCGCACGTTCAGTACAAGGATAAAAGTCCGGTGACGATATACGAAACCGGGTACGCCTTCGGCAAGACGAGACTTATGCAGCTCTGGACCGGCACTGTTGAGTTCTTCGATGACGGCTTTGCCCCACCCAAGAAGAAGTTGCCTCCATACCATGGATCTGCGATCCTGGAGGGCGAGGGGAGTTTGCCATATCGTGAAAGCGTGCCGCGTGCTGAGCGATCGTATAAAGGGTCTCGAAAGCCTATGTCATGTGTAGAGTTTGGCAGGCTTGGGTGCACATGTATCATCTGCGATCGATATCATGCCTTTTGGTTCAAGCCTGGCAGTTGAGCCAAAAAGGCAGGATTTTGTTGCCATTAGCTTGCGGAGGTGTCCCGCCTATTATGGCAAATGTTCCTGATCAGGGGTCTCCTGAGTTCTTCGCCTATGTGTTCAGCCGCTTTGCTGTACACACTGAGGCCCAGGTGTTGCACCCGGCGGCCATGCTTGATCTCAGGGCACAGATTCGGTATTTGGTTTCAGAATGACGGAACTGGGGTGCCGCTCGCCTTTTGGGCGTCTGCTCTTGAGATTCAACACTGCCCTCCTCCACCCCCTTTGCTCGACGGTTTGCCCGCAGGTATGCCACCAATTCGAACCGTCCCGTGCGTCGTGCTGGACTGTGCCCGGTGCGCCCAGAACCGGCGAGGGTTTCAGATGCCATTTGTGGGTACATTCACACATGCAGCCGCCATTGTCCGTCCAGGGAGAGACCCGGCTCAAGCGTGGAGTGATTGCCATACGGACCGCTCATATTTGTCGGAGGCCGACATCACGGCCCTCCACTCCGGACTTTGGCCTACGGACCTGCTGCCAAACCACCTTCATGCGCTTCTGGCAAGGGTGGCGGAGCAGACCCACCCTCGAGCGGTCACCTGGGCGGAACTTTGGGTTATCTTCCGGCGGTGGCAAGCTGGAAACCGGGTCTGGATCGAGCCTGGTCGTGGGGTGCCGTCTTGGGAGGCCGGCCGGGAGGACCCTCGAGCCCGAGCACTGGCTGTGGCTGGGGGCCGTTTGTTTTGGGCCAGGCCTGCTTCCTTCGGCGTGCCACAGCTGCGGGGCCCGTACAGGTTTCAGGTGCCGGAGCGCCGCCGACGCGGCGGCTTGCGGAGACTGCCTGGGCCGTTGCATCCGGTGTTCCTGAGTCTGCGGAGGTCCGGCGGGAGCGACCCGCCGTTTATTATTTTGGGCCTCGGCCAGCGGCTGCGGAGTCAACCGCTGGCTGGCTGGCGACCCCCAAACCCGGAGAAGGAGCTGCATTCGGGCTTCGTTCGGCGGTGGCGACCCGCCTGGTCTTGAGTCTCTCTCCTGCTCTTCTGCCTCACCCTGCCAGGATGGTGCGAGCTCTGCGTACCAGGTTCAGCGTGGCGGCGGTTTCTCTTGGGTCGGAGGACCGAGAGGAGATGGAAAAGGAGATCTCGTGCCTCGGGGAGCTGATCTTGGCCCTGGGAGGCAAGAGCAGCGGCGATCCGGACAAGGTGTGGAGTACCGTTCCGGCCCTGGTGGCCGGGACGGGCGCCGTAGGGGAGTCGGGCTCTAAGGCCCAGGCTCCTGCGCCTGTCCCGCTGGATCTTCAGCTAGCCATCCCCGAGGATCCGCAGCCTGGTCTGGGGGAGTCACCCCTCAAGTCCCGCCTCGCGGCTCTGGAGATAGAGCTTGAGGGGCTTAAGAAGGACAAGCCCGGCGAGCCTCCTTCCGCCAGCGGCAGAGCCGGAGAGCTCGCTGCTGCGTTGGCGGCCCAGACGGAGGCGCTCAAGGAAGCCTTGGCGTCTCGTGGGGGTCAGACGTCTATCACTACGGTGAAGAACCTCCACTGGCCTTCGCTCACGGACGACCGCTCCGACGTTCGGGACGTCGTCCAGTTTTACGAAGAGTTCGAAGACGTCTGTGGCCTTGCTAACAACTGCAAGGGGATGAACTTCCGGGAGAAGCTCATCGCAGTTCGCGCTCGCTGCCGCGGTTCGAGGCTTAAGACCTTTTCGAATGTGTATAAGGCTGCCTCGAAAACGGGCGAAGTTAACGATGATCCTCAGGCGGTTTACGAAAGGATCAAGCAGCGGCATCTCGTCTTCGGCGAAAGCCGAGAGGAGAAAGAGATGAGGGTGGACGCGGAGCACGTCGCCCTCACGAAAGGCAGGCTTACAGGGCACCAGTTTGAGCCCCTGTTCGAAGCCTCCATCGTGGAGTTGGAGAGTGTGGGTCTCGGCAAGACATCGAGGGAGCTCTTTCTGAGCTACCTGCGAAAGATGCCGCCCCACCTCCAAAAGGAGATCCGCGGTGATAAGCGGTTGTGGCCTAGCGACGGCGCATCCGCAGGGCTTCGAGGCCCTTCGACCTGGGAAGAAGCGCATAAGGTCGTCCTCGAATATGAGCAGCGTGAGGCTGCGCATCGAGTGACGGCTAATAGCGTGTATGCAGGTTCGACGGAAGACCCAGCCCTGTCCGCCGCGCGGAAGGAGGTCGAGAAGCTGAGGACGGAGCTCAAGGCTTCCAAGGCCGCGGCCAAGGCGGCCGCCTCTTCCACGCTCGCCGCAGGTCCGAAGGGAAATGGAAAAGGTAAGCCTATCTGTTTCCATTTCCGCGACCACGGGAACTGCCCAAAAGGGGACGCGTGCCCTTACTCACACGACAAGGAGCTCCGTAAAAAGGCCCTCGCGGCCAAAAAGGAGCGAGACGCGTCCACCCTAGCGACGACGCCGGGGAAGGGCAAGGGCAAGGGCAAGGGTGGACCCGGAGGGCAGCCCAAAGGCAAGGCCAAGGCCAAGCCCAAGGCGAAGTCCAAGGCGGGCGCGAAGCCGCCAGGGACTATCTGCCCTTTCTTCAAGAAGAACGGGTCGTGCCGTAAGGGAGCGGACTGTGACATGGTCCATTCGCTTCCCGCCACTGGGGGAGCCGCGTTGCCTTCGAACTGGGCGGCCCCGAGTGGCGCCGGGATGGTGAATCCCTTCGCTACGCTCTCCATCCAGATTGGGAGCGCTGGCACGGTTGTTGCGGCGAACTCCTCCGCTTTCCCGCTTGCCAAGAGCTCGTCGTCGAAGTTCAGCTCAGTGGACGAGCTGCCTCAGGACTGGTGGCACCTCTGCGAGAACGAGGTCGGAGGCTACCAGTACCGAACGGTCGTTCAGGTCGTCGACGGCATGGTGGAATGCATGCTGGACGGGTGTGCAGGCTCGAACCACATCACGGAGGAACTCCTCTGTGGGATCCTCAACAGGGCTGCTGCCTTGGGGATCGGCACGGAGGACCGGAGGTTTCCTGTCGTGATCCACCCAAATTTCGTCCACGGGATCGCTGCAGGAAAGCCGGTGCCCTTGAAAGGGGCCGTCGTGCTGAGAGTCCGTTTTCTCGAGGGACTCTCTCCGGACAACTGCAGCGAGGGTCCTGAGATCTTCGTGCGCTGTAAAATAGCCGCGAAAGGAACCTCGGATTGGCATGGCCTCATCCTTGGGGGCCGTGCCTTGGATTGCTCGGGGCGGCAGGGCTTGGGTTTCAAGCCTCTTCCTGACTGCCACTCCCTGGAAACCCTCGGGATCAAGATTTTCAGGTGCGAAGACTGCAGTGGGTCCCGAAAGGACCGGGCCTACGCCTTCGAGTCCAGGCTCTCTAGCCTCGACGGTGCTCTGTGCTTTGAGCCGGGTACCGGAGGCAGGGACCTGCTCCGGTACAGCGGTGAGAGCCCGCTGGAACTTTTGGCCGGAGACGGAGTCGTCGCACCTGTGAAGAGGGAAGGCAGTGGAGGCCAGGATGGCTCCCTTACGGAGGCTGTCCTCCCCGTGGAGTCCTCTAACTGCGAAGCAGTGCCTGGCTGTGGCCCACCGGAGCCGAGGAAGGTTCGATCTTGCTGGTAGCCGAAGAGGACACGACTGTCTCTCCGGGGTATAGGCGAGGTTCGGACCGGGCTCGCGCAGGCCTGCAGGGCTGCGGCGCGTGCTCGCACAGCAGGGGCTGGCGAAAGGGTCTAAGGGTCGGGGCGATCTTCGCCCTTGCCGCCGTAAGCACGGTCTTAGGGGGGCCTTGGGCCACGGAGTCCGTGGTTCCGGATCCGGATGCTGTCTCCTTCCTCTCCTCCATCCCCACGGAGGGCCAGTGGTGGCAGACGAAGGGTGGAATGGCTGGCCTCTGGAGCGGCAGGCCCCAGGAGGGTGATCCGGAGAATCAACCGGACGTCGAAAGGCTTTCGTACGAGACGTGCCTCCTGAAGTCTTCAGGCGGCCCGTGGCGGCTGTGGCAGACCCGGGACCTTAGGCTTTGGCCCGAGTCTGTTGACTGGTCAGCTGTGCCCGTTACGTCCAACCTCGCGGTCTTCAGGACGAAGCGCTGGGCAGGATGGGATGCGGGTTCCGCCACGAGAGGGTTCGGAGGGAGCCACGGCCGAGACGTCACTAGTGGTTCCAGAGTGGACACTAGGAATGAGCCGGTGTACCACATAGTGGAATCGGCCGACATCGAAAAGATGATCGAAGAACCTCCCTCGGACTATTATTATGATAAGCTCCGGGAGGATATGGGTGCGAGGCACAAAGGCGCTTGCCCGCACCTCCTCGACCATCTGGTTTCTCTGGAAGCTTTCCTTGATAAGAGCATCCTTTTCGGCTTTTCCTTTGGTGTCGCCAAGGCTGAGATCTGTGTGTCAGAAGGTAAGCTCCTCGGGCACAGGATCGGGCGGCACGGGAGTGCGCCCGACGAGGAACGGTGCCAGGCGGTGGTGGACTTCCCGCCGCTCAAAGAAAAGCTCCACATCCAGCAATTCCTCGGATGTGCGAACTGGCTTCGGGGCTATCTGCCAGCGGAATACGGCCATGCTGCTAAGGTTTTGGGCCAATGGCAGAAACCGGGAGCGGAGTTCCCGGAAGGTGGCCTGGGATCAGGCACCACTCCTGGCTGCAAAGCTTTCAAGGCCATCAAGAAAATGATGAGCCACCACATCAGCCTGGCGGCCTTCGATGAGGCGTCAGCAGCTGATGGCTCCTGTCCGCTTGAGCAGATCGCGGATGCCAGCGGCATCGCAGTAGGGGGTTCGGTGGTGCAAATGAGCAGGGATCTCTCGAAGATCAAGGTGCTTATGACGCACTCGAAGAGCTTGACCCCCGCGCAGCAGAATTGGCCGCCGCTGATCCAAGAAGCCTTCGCGCAGCTCGAGGTCAAGCGAGCAACCCGGAAGGTTTTCGGTACTATCCGAACCCTGTGTTGGACGGACCATGCCAATCTTACGAGGGCGCAGTCCTCTGACATTGGGTCGGACCAGAAGCTGGTTCGATGGGTTGCGGAGATCCTAATGGATGGTTCTGAGATCAGGAGTCTCAGTGGTCGCAGCGCGACACTGGGAGACTCTTTTTCCAGGAACCCGAAAGGCAGGGACGAGCTCCTGGCTGCCCGGACCAAGGACTTGGTCGGGATGACTGGCCAGCTTAAGGGGTTCGACCTGGACCAGTACCTCGGAGAAGGGACCGAAGGCGACGGTCCTGTTCCTTGGGCGGTTGGGGAAGATGCGGTTCCCGACCCCGCTGCGCAGGTTGCCCTGGCGACCGCGGCCGCGGTGCCGGTTGGGATCGCGGGATCTTCCCCTGTCCGTGTTATGATCGTTTTCGATTATGCCCCTTGGAAGGACCAAGAAAGAGCGCTTTCGGAAATCCGTGAGGTCTTCGTTTCGGGAATCCCAGGCCACTCGGTAGCGGTGAGGGGCTGCTGGGGCCCTTTCGAAGACGATGACGGAGTCGCTTCCCATTTCGATGGTATGACCGGCAAGCTTACTGGGCCTAAGAAGGTCAAAAAGCTTCGCGTTGATCTGCTTACTTCCTGCGAGAAAGTGCTCCGCGAAGCTGCGGCGTTTTCCCCTGCCTTCTTGGTGGGACTTGGGCAAGGAGGAGTAGTCACCGCTGCTTTGCGGTGGCCGCTGGTGATCGAAGTCACCCTTCAGGCGCGTAACCTGCAGCGCAAGGAAGCCCGTTCTGCGGGCCTCGCTTGGGCAGGGATCAAAGGCATCTGGAGCCTTAAGCCTAAGGTTTGGAAGGCGCACTCTACCCACGTAGAGGTAGCGGAAGCGTGCCCAGAGATGGGGCGTGAGTTCCCTGAGCCCCCTATACCAGGATACGGAATAGTGGGCAAGATTGCCGCTTCCGCGGAGGTCCTTGGGTCCCTGAAGCTGGAAGGGATCTCCAAGGTCGCGGACGTTTCCTTGCGTGGTCTCGTTGACGCGCCCTCACGGGAGCTTTGGGATCACGAAGGCGTCTGCGCCTGCGGAAAGAGGACTTACTTGTTCTCAATTGGTGTCCTTCGTGCATCCGGCAGGAGGCGGAGGA